AGTTTAATAAAAAAAAAGACCACAAACGCAACCAAACATGTTTTACATTATCTACTAGGTTTATTTTCAAGGCCAAGAACAGACATTATCACATTGTACAATGTAAAGAACAATATTACAGTAATAAATACAGTATACACCAGTAGAGAACTGACTTACAGGCACTAATTACACTGAAGCAGGCACTAGCTTGTTTTACAGTATCATACAAAAGTAGCTGAGGAGCACTTGCTTGAGCTATAATGTTATTTTGCTCTTTAATCTTCCAACTTCAGAGGGTGAGACGGAAGATAATCAAGCACAGCTCGAGTACTTCAATTCATATTTGAAGCTTTTTTTCAAACATAGTCTTGAAATACTGCTACTGTAAAGTACCAGGGATTTCCTGCCTATTAAAGGCTAATTCAAGTCTTTTTCTCATCATCAGAGTGTGGAAATGTAACATGGATGCATGCTTAGTGTTTGTTTATTGCATAAGGAATATATATGAGCTTCGGTAGAGTTGTTCCCTCTTTCAGGACTTCTAAATTAATTCCACAAGCCTTATGTTTTTAAAAAGCATCACTAAAAAGACACACATAAAAATGCTGGCTCGAACTAGTTGTTGTTGTTTTTGTTGTTGTGCTATGACTCTCTTGAAAACCAGCGTTTAAGCTTTAACACTAAAGCTACACTGGGCGTGGAAATATTGGGTGTCTGTGTTGCTATGCTGACCCAGTTGTGTCTGTTACACAGGTGTATGTGTGTATAGGTGTAATAAATACAAGGCAATTATTACTTAGCATTTCCTTTAATTAACTGGTGAGTTTCGTGGCTTCTGCTTATGACTATTGTTTACTGTGGAAAAATGCACCTATGCTTCACAATACTATTACCTTGATAGCAAATGCAGACATTTTGATTAGACTGGTTGTACAGAGATTATTATCATGCCTATGATGGTGATAAAAAAACAAAAACAAACATCTATATGGCTGAATACGGACTTACAGACACTAATCACGCAAAAATCGAAGCCATGCATGAATAAAGTGCTCCGTTGCAACTGTATCTGGGACAGAAAAGGTTCAGATCAGATCCAACCAGCACAGGAAACAGAGGCTAAAGGCTGGAGCCAGACCTGGTGTAGGTCTAAATATCTAACTGCTGCCAGGAATGAGTTACACTGCAGGATTCCCACTGAGCACAAGTTAACATCTACAAATAAAGCACGAATGGACGTCTGTGTTCATCGTTCCTCCAGCTTTAAGCAAAAGTGTATTGTGGTGGAACAGCACAGCTCTGCAAAATTAAAACCTGGCGCCCCCATCAGGCATCTGTTCAAACTCCCGAGTCCTCATTCACTGTACTGCTGGACAAGGACAACTAAACTGACTAAAACCAAAGAAAAACCCTGATACGTACACTAACATACAGTTAGCACAGCTTTAACAGCACTCACTCAATATATACACACGTACATTTACTACCAGACACAGAACAACAGACAGTCAAAACCAGTTCAATTTAAATGTCACCTCGAACAGATATTTTTCTGTTTTACAGTATTTACAACGCAGAGTTACATATGCAGCATTAAACAGCAGAGTACGCCTTACAGTGTGTGTGTGTGTGTGTGTGTTTGTGTGTGTGTGTGTTTGTGTGTGTTCCTCAGACCTCCACTGCAGGGTCTGAACCCAGTCCCTGAGCCTGCAGAGCTTCCTCTCTCTTCATCTTCGGTTTCTCTGTCCGTGTGTGCCACACCAGCACCTACAAGGCACACACACAATGAATGGACACGGAAATACAACATTTCACCTTAAAATACACTTCAACTAGTAAGTCTGTCTTTAACTTAAATGTAAAAAAATCTCCAAGACCATAAACGCATCTCACACTCATCATTTGCTCTGAACTATAATACATGACAAAGACTATTCTTTCAAAACTTAGACATCTTTCACTCTCCATTCCTCTCTCACTCTCTCTAACACACACACACACACACACACACACACACACACACACACACACACACTCATACTTTAGAGCAGTTGTCCGCTTTGGGCTCCAGTTCGTCCATTGTAACCAGTCCTTGAAGGAAGCTGCTTTCCAGGAAGCCCATTGGTGCCTCGCCGTCAAAACAAGCCTCTGGATTGGCCAGGACAAGTTTGAGGGACACGGCAAACCCGGCCATGTCCATCGGGAAGGGACGACTGGGACGCCAACCGGTATGGAAGCGAACCACCTTAGAAGAACAATCAAAAACACCATATTCTGTATTAGAGAACTGTTGATGCAAAACACAGACTTATTCATCTCCACAGTTCATAAACCAGAACATAAAAAGCACCCACCTTTCCTCCTTCAACCACGGGCCTCTCATATTTCATCCCTCCAACCAGCCCCACCGGCCACACCGACACTCGCTGGGTACTCCTCATCTGAGACGGGACGAGAGGACATTAGTTTTTCTTGCTCAACCGTGGGAGATTTAAAACAGACACTTCCTCGGCTGTAGACTTTGCTGAGGATCATAAAGCACCCACCTCTTCAAATATCTGCAGGCTGTACGTGTTGTCGTCATCAGCAAAGTAAACCACTCCCTGCTGGTTGTCTCCTCCTGGCTGAGCCCTTCTGTCCACTCTGAGCCACCGCAGACCCTCGTTCCTCTGCTCGACTCCACGAGGCTTCAGCCAGCTGGGGTCACCCTGAGGAGGAGAGTGAGCATTCAGACCAAAAGTTTAAAAACGCTCCTTTGTTCATACTTAACTGAGGAATAATACTGAATTGAAAATAGCAACAAAAAAAACCTGCATTTGACTTCAACTGAAAAGGACAAAAACAAGAAAGACTGATGTCTGCACCTCCTGCAGTTTGCGGTCCTTGGCGGTGGGCATATGTAGGTGTGTGTAGTTCAGTTTACTCTTCCCCAGGAGCTCCGTCACCAGTGGCGTTTTGTGCGGCGAATCCTCCACCACGATCCAGTGGAGCTGAGGAACATGGAGGAAGGTCTGGGACAGACGAGTCAGCTCGGCCTTCTGCACCAATCTGGACAGACAGAAATCGAAAGGAACGGCGTGTTTGTATGTGGAAAAGTAACAGAGGGGGATGGAGATGGAAGTAGGCGAGGCTCCTTGGCTACCTTGCGTACGTCGGGGTGATGACAAAGATGGTGGGCAGCTTGGCAGGCTGTTTCTGGGGCTGTTTGGCCACATCCAAGTTCCTTATCTGCTCATGAAGACGGTGCAATTCCCCCCGCAGTTGAGATATGGTACGGTCTTTAGGGAAGTCGTGATCTGTGCAGTCGCAGCGCTGACCTGCAGAGTGTTAGGAACAGACAACACAAGTTTAAAGTACAGGAGCAAAAAGGGATTTCCCTGCTTGTGAAACTTGGATACACAACTGCTGCTCTGTTTGGTTGGTTGTTTTATTTTGTGCGTTTGTAACCTCTGTAAAAGATCACGACCACAATGGAAATGTTTAGCCTTATTAACTTTTTATTCATTGTATGAGGATCAAAATCAGCCACCACTGAAATGACTTTACTGGTGTGATAAATACATATAAGTCACATGACTAATTATCTCACAGTCTTCATTTTTGAGTTGTGTCTTGTTTTCCCAAAGGTAAACAATTATTACAAACATAAGAATAAAACAATATATAGGATAAATAATAGGATATGCTGAATATCCAGCCACACGCCACTGCATGGTAAGGGTCAGTGCCGAGGGACCTATAGTGTCTCATCTCACGTCCTCGTAATGAAGTTAAAGCTCTAATTATTATATCAGGACTGAATAATGGCTGCCTGTTATTCAGTTTTGCCCATATTACCACACTCATTCATTGTCATGGAACCCATTTGAAAGCCTTTATAGTAAATTGGGAAACACATTGGGAAAGTTAACTGTTATAGATTTTATTAAAGCTCAGTTTAGTTTTCTCCCCCTGTCAGACTGACCTGATGGAGTTGGAGTGGAGTGTTGTGGTGATGGATAAAGTCTGGATTTAGACAGTGTGGCTGACCACTTACCGAGCTGCATCAGTGCATAGACGAGGCCCAGCAGAGAGACCATGAAGTAGAGCACAAACACAGTCTTCAGCTTCAGCTTCATCCTGGTTGCCATGGTACCCTGAGCAGCTGACAGGACCACACAAAAGCATCACTCCTTGGTATTTATTCTTTATTATTTCTGATTATTTTTTTTATGTCAGTCTGACAATTAGTTTGAACATAAAATATCTCGACGGTCGCTGTCGTCACTCACCGGCGGCGGGAGCTCGTGGAGGACAGGAGAGTGCAGTTCAATCGTTCATGTCATCCTGGACAGATGTGAGCAAAGGCACCTCAGAGCATCAGAGCATCCATTCATCCATTCATCCATCCGACTCACAGCCAGGACACTTTATTCTTGCATCAATGTACCAACAACTTCCGGTTTCAGTGCAACGCAGTAAGGAGTCCCCTCAGAACCACAACCACGAAGAGTTCCACATACGTTGGCCATTATATTAACATTGATGTCTTGTAAAGTGGATTAAAATAGTACGTTTGCTCCAGTAAACATGAAAGCCCACTTCCCATTTCAAAAGTTAACATGGGAAACATTTTTAAAATATAAAAGTAAAATGATATCCTAAGTCAAAATGAAATTTAAATAATCTCTCAAATCTTTCCAAAATGACAACTGACTCTTGTTTTCTCATACTTAAGTACAATTGTTAACACGCCATCTCATAGCTTTTACTCAAGTCATAAAATTAAGTTACAAAGTTCTAATTTTGACATACTGTTTCAATTTCTATCATTTTTAACCACATTAATTTATTAACAGCAGAAATACAGAGACACACACACAGACACAGACACAGACACACACACACACACACACACACACACACACAAAAAACACACACACACACACACACACACACCACACACACACACACACACACACACTTTGTCCCTTGAAAAGAACAATTAATCATCATAAATGGGGGGAAAAAAGCACCTCTTGAAAAGTCAAACAACTTTCCTTTATTTGTAACATACAAATAAAACACTGACAAGGCATAATGACTTAGTTTTCCCTTTCATTGTCGTTTATGGACAGGACTGTAACACTCACTCTCAAACATGGAAGTTTTTTTTTAACATCATGTTTAAAAAAGTGTTTAACCTGTAAAAGGCCAAGAAATGAAAATGAAGATGGATCCACAACAGCTTATATATATATATACACACACAGAGAAAAGACCAAGAGAAGGATCTGTGATTTTGTGAGGGTATGTAACCATTTTTTAAAAATAAAAGTACTCACTGACTTAAAATAAACTGGTTAAGTTTAGGCTCATTTTCAAACTCAGGATATTTTCACAAAAGCTTTTTGACTTCAAGTGAGCCTTTTTTAAAAGACAGCCCACCCATCTGGATTGAATGTAACAACTGAGCGCTGATCTAGGGTCAGTACACACTGTGTCTTTAATTTTCTTGCATTTTCACACCTTCAAGGCAGAGCAGTTGAGGTGCTTTTGTTTTTACTGCAACATATAAAAAATAAAATCACTTTCCTAGTTGTGTTAAAAGTCAAAATTTAGATACGGTTCTTCGATTCACTTTCTTTAAATAATACGACATGACACGCAAACAAAAACTGACTCTAGGTCAGAGCTGTGGCCAATCCAATCCAGCGAACAGCTAACTGACAAAACGGCTGTTGAAATGAAATTGATGAGGTTCGATTACGTTTGATTAACCTGAGAGAGAGAGACTGTCAGTCGGTTGATATACTACCATTATGTACAACATCCTCTTTTTATTGTAACCTATGCAGTACAAAAAATGATTTACTGTACGTATCAGAAGGTATTCTAACACTAAAACAAGCAATATGTTGTTTAATTGTTTTCATGATCAAACAAGCGAGAGACACCAATAGGTCGTCTCCAGATGCTGAATTTTTTTTTTTTGTCTCAACCCAGTCTGGAAACAACAAGAAACTTTCACCCCAGGATCTGGGCTTGGTCATCCAAAGGGTTTTTCTTTTTTGGTGATAAATAACATTTTGTTCTTGTGTAACACAGATTATTTCGGTATTTAGGAGTTTCTAAGAACGTGTCTTCACATTTCAGTCTCCCCGTTTCACATATTTTGACCAGGTATGTCAGGTCTGTATGAAATCTCAAGTTGAGCCTTGATATGAAAAAACAAAACATACAAATTGAAGTCCCTCACAGCCACACTAGAGCAATCTTTACATCCACAGTAGTGTAAAGTAATGACTTTTTAACTCCTCCAGCCCACAAGTACAATCTGTACAAACTGACTACAGTCCTGGAATTAAAGGGTTTTATGGTGGTTTCTAGATAGTGCTTCTAACCCGGCTGACTCGCACTTGAAACGGTCCAAAAATACCCTGAAGGTTTTGTACAAAACAGACATGAAATCAACAAGATCGAGGTGGTTACAGCAGCCTGTCTAGGTTGACTAGTAATGTGACATCTAAAACCCTATGTGGAACTCCTACAAAGATCTCGGCAGCGGACGCACTGTTCAACTTTACCCAAATCTCACAGCACTGACTTTGTGCCAAGATGCTTTAAAGGAAACCGCAACATTAACTTTAAATGTCGCACAACTCTCCCTTTCACATACTAACATGCACGGCTGTTCATGGGAGATTTGTATGAAATATTAAAGTAATGCCATCAGACCCACATGAGGATTTTACACACGTGTTCAAACAGTGATGCTTAAGTTCAGAAGCAGCACTGCTGTTGTGTAATCCTGATTTAGACTACGAGTTTTGTTAAAAAAAAAAATGTAATTTTGTCATGCAAACTAATGATGGTGGGCTGGGAAAACAGTTGACGACTGAGGAGAAGGAGGAGGAGGAATAACGACCATAAAAAAACACCTTCAGTGCTCTGCAATTACTTGTATCATCCAGCCATCCATCCATCCATCCATCCATTGTTCCTTCCTCCAAGTTAACAGCATTCAGCTTCAAACGGCCACATAATGAAGCGGTGACTTCTACCAATCCTCATCCATGTTAAATCAATATGATTTGCTCATGCTAACAGAATATGTAAGAGAAGGGATGGAGGATGGTTTTAGTATTTTTTAAATACAGCTAAAGGTAGCGTCAACATCAACTTGTTTATCATCAACAATGAAGCGAAGGAAACGCAGTGAACGATGAGGCAAGCAGGAGTAATGCAATTGTACTAGGTGACTAAAGACGAGCGCAACAGATCTGCAGTCATCGTTCAGCACCTTTGGGACATAGAGGGAGAACGGAGGCACCAACAGGAGAAAGGGGGATGGGATTTCACAGAAGTGAAGCATGGAAAAACACATTATAGGCAAGTGAATCTCCCATTTGTATCTGAGAGCTTGGAAATGAGAGAAATATGGTGGGAAGAAAGCGTGAAAATGAGAGTGAATGACCTCATGAACTAAAAGAACTCCATGTCTTCAGTGAAGCAGGAAACCGAGTGTTAGTTCATGATTTGTACCTCTGATGAAGAAATATAGCTGACAGTTAAAGTTGAACATCTGAATGAGCCAGAGAGGGTCGCACTGGCATTATTTTCTGGGCTGGATGCAGGTCTACAGCAACAGATGATGAGAAATTTAACTTTTTCTTTTAATTATAAGCAGGGGAGACGTCTATACATTTAGCTGAGACCGGAGCAGAGAAGATGGGTAGTGCTAATATTGTACTGTAACCTTGTCAACAGTAGTATAACGGACAGATGTGGTTCAAAACAGTGCAGTTGCTGATAGCTGCAGTGCTATTGTTACAGAAAAAAAAAATATTACTTACAAGCCATATGTGCATATAACTTGCAACATAAAAAGGTGGTATTAGACAGCAAGCCTTCTCAGACTGCTTCTTCTGGGACCCAAATGTGAATACATTCAGCCTAATCCTGGGACCAGCGAAACCAGCTAGTTAGTCTCAAGTCCCAAAGAAACCAGGGGCTGTATCACAAGAACTGACTAACTCATAAAAATCCTATCGGTTTAGTTTAAGTGGTCATTTGAGTGAGGGAATGATTAATCAATTTTTACCACTAAATCCTATCTTAAGCTTAAGCAATCTTGACTTGAGGTAGTAAGTTTCTATAATACAGCCTTAGGCCAGCAACCAATTTTAGGTCCGAAGCAAAAGTTTGAGAAGCGCTGCAGAATGATTCAATACAGTACAGCAGGTTAGGAGATGAGAGGCAGGATGGGATGAGGTTCATTGGAGTGGTAGAGGATGTCAGCAATGCTTTAGCTTGTTCTTGACTGGGAACCAATAACTGTCATCATTAACTGGGATAAGAGAATGAGGAAAGATGAGCTTGGACATTGGACCAAGAAGTAGGAAAGAAAAAAAAAAATAAAAAAAAACAACAACCGGAGCTATGTGTGAAAGCTCACACTGCTTACTGCTTTTTGTAGCAGGAATACACAAAAAAAACAAACAAACACGTAAATCTCAATCCATAACGCGACATCAATATCTGTAGCCAGGTATTCCACCATCGGTTCATCTACAGCCGTTCAAACTCAAAACGCTTGCAGTGTAGCAGGCAGCTCAAGCTTTCACACACAGCCATGAAAGTTGCTGGCTTTTAAACCAAATCGTAAAAGCTGTAGCTGAAGCGGATCAGTGGCAGCAGCCCCCGCAGTGCCCGCCCCCGTGGGTGTGTCCCGCCGAGGCCTCGCCGTGTTTGGTCCGCCGGCTGAGGATCTCGTAAGAGCAGTCGTCGCCGCAGCAACCGGACATGCTTGGCGAGGTGTCATCGATCTCAAACCTAAAAAAGAGAGAGAGAGAGAGAGAGAGAGAGAGAGAGAGAGAGAAAGAAAGAGGTAAGTTAACAAGGATGAAGGAGAGGAGAGAGGAGTATTGTGAAATGGGAAGAATCATTTTTGCCAACACTTAAACGTCTTCTTCTGCTCTTATTAGCCTGATTTTAAATGGAAACGCCACTTACTTACTACATGTTACTGACATAATACTGACTGACTTCATGTTCACATAAAAAAAAAGGTGGGATTAAAGCAGCCCATACTATATATAGTTTGATCTAGTGTGGTATAGTATGAAGCCAAAAGGGATGGGAAACAAACTAATATCTACTTGGGACCCCAAAAATCTGTTGAACATGTTTAGTGATTTTATTGAATCATTATTTAAAAGAGGCTAAAACCCAAAAGTTTCCAGTGATTTGCAAGAAAAAAAAGCAAATATTACAGGAAAGTGTTGTAGAAATTGTTGTATTGTAGAAGTATGTTTTTTCTGCTTACATATCCTGCTAATAATCTCACGACCCTTCAGATTGAACCTGCGACCCCTTGTGTGGGTCCCGACCCCACAGGTAGAAAAACACTGCTCTAGAGGGAAAAAACGAAGCTTCGGACACGTTGCATATGTGTACATTAGATCACGGTCACCCTTTGTGTCTGCCTACTTTTTCTTTATGCATGAACAGAAATTGTGACAGCACGGAGATTCCTTAGATCAGCTTGTTCACGAGACGTAAGTAAGAGTTACAGAAATGAACAACATTCAAAGTCATTCATTGATTCATAAGTTTCCTTATACTTCCCATGTCTCCATATTCAAAAACAAAACCCCTTTGTAGAGCCAGTATACTCACTGTAAAGCTTCTCTGAAGAACTGGTAAGCCCCGTGGTTGTGTTTGAAAACTGTCAACATCACTTTCTTCATCTGCGTACTGGACATAAAGAGCAAGAGAGCAGAAAAGAAACAATTACTTTCACATGACAGGAAGATGTCACTTGAAAAGGTGGCCTACAGGCTTGGTCTTTTCATGGGAAAAAAAAAAAAGGTAGAATGACACCAAACTTAGTCTTCAAACCACATTGTGAAAAAAGTGTTCAGTTACAGTAAATGGGTTCAAAAGTTACTGATGGGATCATCAGTCTTACCGTGTAGAATACGACCCAAATTTAAAGTTATGAGCCAAAGGGCAGAGAGAACAAAGCTATTCATGCAGAAGCATCAGAATCTCACAGTCACACAGCAACGACTGCAGCTGTATATTTTACCTGTTAGCGATGAGCTGTAGTATCTGGATGAGGAACTTGCCGAGTCCTTTCCTCCGCACTCTGCTCTCTAACTGCACCTCATAGCTGCAGGGTCAAGACGACAAGTTACACCACAGGAAGAAAAAAAAGTCTGCGATTGTCAAAATAAAAGCTACTGCTGGAACCACAAACTTGTGGACGGCATGCCTTACCAATATAAAACCTCCTCCCCGCACTCCACGTCGAATCGGAAGTGAGAGAAGGCCACGGGGCGGAGTCGCCCGTCGCGGGCCAGTAGGTACCACGCCCTCTCGTCGTTCATCTCCTCCCTCTTTTCCCTCTCCTTCCACCCCCACTCGCTCTGCTCATACCTGCAGCACAGCGGAGAGAAAATGGGTCGACTCCAACACACACGGTGAATTTACCCTCCCATTTCTCCCCATCATCAGGCTGCTCTGGCAGTGCCACTCAGAAAGGACACATTTTCCCCAAATGGAGCAAAAAAATTTTCGACTGACTGGCTGCCATTTGCTAAGCTGAACACTACTCAAATTCAGGAAAAGAGAGAGAAGATAAACTGTAGTAATTTCTCTGCTTCCATTTCTTCAGCTCTTGGTCTAATTCAAATAAAAACACTGATCCACATCTTGCTCAGTAGCTGTTCAACGTCTCTCGCACACTAAGAATTTCTGGCTCGTCTGCACTACTTCCCAGCTGCAATCTACCAATCATATCTATATGAGCCTGTCCATTCATCACTCTCTTCCTGTCCCTACGCCTTTAACTACAACAGGACCGAAAGGACGTCTTACAGTGTCTGCATGTTGGCTCTGGTGAGTTCGAAGGCCCACTCCACAGACAGCGGGTTGAGGGAGGTCACTCTCTTACACTCTATCTGCAGATTCAGCCTGGATGGGAAGACAAGTGAGCAGGGTCAGTAACATCAAGAATGTGTGTGTGTGTGTGTGTGTGTGTGTGTGTGTGTGTGTGTGTGTGTGTGTGTGTGTGTGTGTGTGTGTGTGTGTGTGTGTGTGTGCATATGCTGTGGCAAAGCGGGAGAAACACTAAAAGAAGAACAGATATAAATACTCTCGGCAGACCAACTGGCCCCTCCATGTAGAAAATGAAACAAGTGTGTATTTCATGAAATGGTGAATAAGTCTTTTGTAGGCGTACAAAGCAATGCGTACCCATTTCTGTCGTACTTTTTGAAGGCTGGGAAGGCAGCCAGGGGGTCGTCGAGCTGTGAGGAGAAGGGGCAAAATTAGCTTAAGAGGCTTTCAAAACACAAAAAGTATTGAGTCTTTTCCCCCTCCAGGCCCGACTTTTATTACACTGCCCCCCCATTTATGCACACATATTTCAAAAGATACTGAAGCTGTGGCTTTAAATTTGCCTCATTTTTGATTCAGGCCTTAAAACAATTCTAAAAAAGATTATTACTGTATGGCTGAAGTAATTAGTGGTTGATTGCTTAAAATCAGCATTTTCCAAAGCAAGAAAAGTCAAATATTTGCTAGTTCTAGTTTCTCAAATGTAAGGATTAGTCATTTTTCTTCATCCCAAATGAAAGTGAACAAAATACACAACATATCTGAAGATGTCAAGATGGGCTCTGGGAAATTTAAGTGGGTATATTTTTGACTGTTTTCTGACGTTTTTTAGACAAAACAAAATCATTAAAATAAAAGACAGATTAATAATGAATAAGATCCTTGGTTGCACTCCCTACACTTCTTTATTTTCGAACTCTTCTTTCACTTGTGAATGCAGTAAATCCCCCCAAAATAGACCGTACCTCAAACCTTAGTATCCCCAGACTCAACTGCCTTCTCTGGAGCCTAAATAGGCCAACTGGGTCCCATATAGGCAGGAAAATTACAGGGCTATTAGTACTACAGCCCCATTAGTCACTGATTGCATGCGCCCACAAAGTCAGCTTTTCCTTGGCACTAAAATTATCATCTCAAATTAAGAATACTCCTCTTCTTGCACAGATTATAAGACGCTGGACCCCTGGGCTCAGACATGTGAACTATAAAGCTGTATATAATACAAAAAGATATCAGTTCAGACTTCTATCAGCAGATATTTAAGGATCAGAACATCTCTACATTTGAAGGAGCCATTTGACTTTTCCAATAACAAATGGGGCTCTTGTTTAGGGGTCCTCTGTCCCCTTAGGCCACTGGGCCTGTGCCTGGTAGGCCTGTTCACTGCAGCCATATCTCTCCTCCATTTTAAGGCCAAGGAGAACCTACCATATCAGGTTAAAATGGGTGTTTTCTTAAAGCAGTGAATGCACTATTTGTTCATTTGAAACAACAGTCTGAGTCAAGATTCATTTCTTTTGGCAAGAGCATAAACGAAAATAAATGTTACTTTGGGAGAACTTCTTGCATTCCTTCTCTGTTGGCACATCAACAGTGGAAAGGGGCGGGAGAAGGAGAACAGCATGCAACACAGTGTGCCCCATTTTGGGACAAAGTGACACAGAAAAGTAATAAGAGCAGGCAGGCCTGTTCAGAACTAGTTTGCAGCAACTACAGCTCAGCTCAAGGCGAGGGTATGAGCTTTGTTCTCCTTCAAGCTTCAGTAAGGCTTACCAATGCTCCAGCCCACCTCCAAGCTGCAGGAGCAGTCTGTTGTGTGTTGTACTAGATGGGTAGGATTTATTAACGCTGATTAATTATGCATAAAGAAACATATGGCTGTATTTGGCTTCTCCTGTACGTGAATATCAATTACGGGTGTAATTAGGGCAAGGAGGGCATCCCCAGCTTTTGGTGTCATTACAGTGATCTGTGTCTACTACTGTAACTTAACAAATGAGAAAAATCACAGCTCACGATGGAGATTTTAAGTGCCGTACTCGATGTAATCTGAATCCGCAGGAAAGCCTGAAACAGCACATAAAGGCCCGAGTGCTGGATGCTTTTATGTGAAGCACTTAAGAGTCGCAAAAGTGCATTTATTTTTAACTTATCATGCCATTATCAACTGTCAGAGCTACACCCCAGCAGATTTTGTGCTTGTTTTGCAGTCTGCAAGCAGCTAACGCCTCAACCTCGGTTTCTTGAACAAGATGACTCCAATTCCTTCAATAGTTTCAACTCGAATCTCCCCAAATGTTCCCACGAAAGCCCTGCAAGCGGCCCACTCCCAAACCCGACGACAGCTACCTCACCGGTTAATTACCTTATTGGCTGCGTCCACCTTGGCACAGACGGCATCCATAGCTGCCCTCTCCTCCAGACGACGGGCTTTCTTCTCCTTTGCTCTGTTGGACTTCCTCTGAACACGGGGGATAAGGGAGGGATGAACAGAGGAATGTGTTGAGATGGTGGTGGATATGCAGAAGAGAAAAGCAGAAACATTAGGAACAGATGAGACGGACCTTATGGAAGACAGGAGTATAGAAATTCTTTCCCTATGCTCCTTATTCCACCATCTTCTGAACACTAATGTGGGTTTGATAAAAACCGTACTTCATACCCTCCCCCAAGCTAGCAAGAAAAGAACTGTAATGATCTACTCATTTATTGAAAATCTTTAGCATTTTTTGTCACTTAATCAATCCCCTGCTTATTTCACGTGATCAATTACACATTCACTGATCCTTTTCTTATCTATATATCCACTGTGGGGCTGGAGGTATAATTTGGGGTTTGCTGGCTCTGGTTAGATATGACTCCATTCTTCAGTGTGCCTACAACTAAAATCAACTGAAGACTTGTACAGTCTCTTGTTACAATATGAAGAGGGATTGCAGTATTTTGGTACAAAAGCATAAGAAGGGCTAGCTTGTCAAATAACAAGATGTCATTAAAGTGGGTGGCAGAGATCAAAGAGCGTCTGCACACAAAATGTCAAATGTCATTTATTAGCTACCATATTGAGCTTGTTCATTCAGTGAGTGTGATAAAAGAAGGAATGCTCTTCTGTTGATACCACTTATGTACTGTAGAGTCTTTGTTAGAGCCATAACATCAGACTATATTTAACAGAAAATGTGTTGTGTTTTTAATTCACTTATGTGCTTTGCAGGCCCTTTAAATATAAATTATCACTATTGTTCTGAGTTTCTGTGTGTGTGCGCATGTGTAGACCCAGTGTTTTGTCTCACACACACACACACACCAACATGAAAACACTGACTGACTGACTCAAACCTCAAAACAAGTACAACCAGAGACATCAAGGCAAGACAAACAAATGAAGGTCAGTCACGCAGAACAAACACGAGTACACTTACACAGAAAACAATCTTACTACTATTATAAACATGATCATCCTGTCTATAAATACAGCAACAGCAAGATAAAAAAAGAGCATTCATATTCATATCAGTAGCTATTATGACCAACATTTAATCAATGCTGTGTAAAACAGTGGGGTGTTTATATCGCTGATGTTGCATATTGGTCTCGGTGTGGAGCTATAGTATTGGGAAAATTCTGATACTGATACTGTAATTTAGCCTGCTCTTGGCTTGACGTCCAATACTAGTATCAGCAATGGTGCAGCCATAATTCACATGTTTTACTCTGACTGCGTCCAGGCCTCGCAAAAGAGAGAACACGCACACTTCAACAGCTGCTATAAACGTGCTTCAACCACGACAGCACACACTACCATAAATAGTGATTATTAGTCGTCTTCAATTATTGTCGCCTGTAATTTATAGAGAAAATGAACACCCACTGACTCACAGCAGAAGTGGCCTGACACTTGAATTTAATCTCATGGTTTCTAACAGCGCTGTTTTCTGGGGTAACTCCTGCACGGTGGTACTGGAAGGATTAGTCGTTTAACCCCAGGAAATAATCAGAGGCAGTTTGTTAATCATTTAAATCATTAATCAAGGAAAAACACTGGAATTTCTCTTTTTCCCCCCCAGCTTCTCAAATGTGAGGATTGGCTGTTATATGTGTTTATATAATTCTAAAGTTAGACATATTTGTGTTCAGGACTGTGGGTTGTACATTACCTGGGGCTCTGACATTTTATAGCTCAATTAATGATAAAACATTCATTGGTTGTAGCTCTATATTGTACATTAGATTTCATATGCAATACCAATCTTGAGACGCTCCATGTCTCTACAACATGTTAATCAAGTTTTCAGTGACATATATACAGTGCAGAAATGGCGCACTGATTCTTCATGGACTAACAATAGCAATGGACAAACAAGCAGGCATTAGCTACGATTCCTTCATTAGATCCAAACCTAAAGAGGAGAAGTAACAATTATGGGAAGGAATGCACTGAATGGCCAACTTTAGGTCGGAGCATTAAGTCTGTACCAAGCACAGAGAGGCTGCAGACTGAGCTGGGGACTGTGCAAACACGTGGATTGGTTTATCTGGAGAGAAAGTGGAGAATAAACTCAAGTCTTCTTACACAGAGTAGCCAAAGTTATACCAACTTACTCAGCTTTACAGTATGAGTGCAGGCCTGGTCGGTGCCGAGAAAGTACGTGTTTAATACCCAGCAACCCCCCCTTCTTGAATCTATCACCACCATGTGGGCCCAGACACAAGCAGTCTTGTTGGTGAAACAATGTACACACAAAATGATTAGCATTAACAGCTAGCATAGCAGAGCGCTCGTCATTAATGTGGCATTCCTAAGTGGCTAACGCGGCTAGCACGCTAACAATGGCAGAACACACACACACACACACACACACACACACACACACACACACACACACACACACATATACAGGAGAAGTTAACTGAGCTCATCGACTAGGACAATGCAGTAATAATGGTCCAAATACCACGTAAAGCTCGGTATCAGCACGCGTTATTGTGCTATCGTTTGGAGGAGAGCAGCTACACGGCTAACCCACACCTCTAACTACATCCATCCACCATGGTCTCCTCTTCCTCTCCCTTCCTCTCTTCTTTCTTTCTCTCCTCTCACCCCATCACGCATTTTCCGAAGCCCCAACAAACATCCACCTTTTTCTCCGTCGGCACCAAAAACACATCAGGCGACACACGTACAACTCACCCCCATTTTCTCGGCTGTGTGTGATCGGTTCCCCCCGCAGAGACACGGCTCTATTGTCCCTGTGCTTCACTGTTGCTGAGTTATTAGTACAGACAGAGAGAAGAGGGCAGATTAATATCACAATGATAGATTGTGTGCTAACGAGGCTAGCTGGCTGTAGCGCCGACCGACGGCTACCAGACTACAGCGGCGCTTGGACGCAGATTTGATTAAAACGTCAATGAAAAATGAGCTAGTTGTTTTTCTCTTTAAATCGGATTGGCGCCAATAGTGCGAGGCTGAATTTATTACAGGTCCCCTCCTTTGCCCTTTTCTTCCCTCTCGTCTCCGTCGTCCAACTGTGCTGCATTCACGTGCTCTTGGCGAGCTCCGACTTCTGAAGCCTCAGTGAGTCTCAAACTCAACACCGACTCCAAAAACTTTGGGGAAAGTAAAAACAGGCTGGCTTTATGTTAAAATGTGTATTTCTGAGTATTTTATGTTTATTTTTGTTTATGTTACGTTTAATATTTTTTTGTAATTTTATTTACAAAGCATGGTCAAAGTTCACTAAAGTTTGCTCAGTCGTGAAGGAGTATTCAAACACATTACCACAAGACTGTTTATAAAAACTATATGAAAATAAAAATGTGCAAATAAACGTCTGTAAAATGATGAGTCTCAAAAGTGAAAGTAGCACACTCATTATGCAGCAGTAAGACCCACTGTGAGTAATGATTGGTGGTGCATTAATATGTAAAAGTCATTTTAGATGGTCTTTAGCTGTTTTACACTGCTTTGGGAAGTTAAACAACAGTGGATCATATTTTATAAGGTCATTATGTATAAAAAAAAATCTTTATTTACAAAGTAACGTGAAAATTCAGAGCAGCAGAAGATACATGTGTACATTGTATTTCCCACAGACTGGTGAGTTTGGCTGTTAAGTGAATGTAAAACTGGCTCAGAGCACTATTCATGAAAATAGATAGATGGCACATCATTAAATGTACCTCTGATCTTTACCATTATTGTAGACATTGCAACAAAGTGCATCTTTGACAGTTATGAATTTGCATGATTCAAACCACCTTACAGTACATTTCTGTAACATCAATCCTGCTGATTTTGATTATCAATAATACACCATTTTACATTACAATGCATTTACACTTGAAATCGTAGAAAGATTTCATTGAATTTATATAGAAAAGCTCATTGGCAGCGGTGGGATTCGAACCCACGCCCCCGAAGAGACTGGAGCCTTAATCCAGCGCCTTAGACCGCTCGGCCACGCTACCATGTGTCGTGCCACTTTCTATGCCTATTATCTGTTCGCCATTATTCCGACAGTATTTGAACGCAGCACTGGTTTAGCGCGAATATGGTTTCCTTGTCTGGAAAGTGACGACAGATCCTCAGAGGGCTGGCCAGGGTCAGGTAGCACAATGGAGCACAGCCTGTGGCCTTATTTCCGTATTAACTATATTCTCTAACAGAATCATAATGTATTATATTATTATTCATATAACAAACATAACTACAGGCAGCTGGGAGAAACATGTTTTAACACAATTACAAGAATTTAATTACAACAAGCTCAGTTAGCATTGGGGAATCATTCATTTTTATTTAATGCATTCTTTCTCAGAAGTTACTCTTTGTAGATCTCATGATCCAGTCAGCTAGAATATGTTAAACCTTCATATGTCCATATGTTTGCAAGTAGTGATGTTTTTGCTCCTCTGCAGTCTGAGCAAGTTATCATCCATGGATACAGTGAGTATTGAGGACAGTGCACAGAGATAATGATAGGAGTTACTGTAATAACACTTGTTCCATTTCATTTTGTAATTATAAAACAACTCACTATCACACAAACATTACAATATTTCTCAAATCCTACAGCTGATTATATTTCACTTTGCAAATATCTCAGGGTATAATGTAAGTAATTAGTAAAAGCTACATCAAATGCTCCCATGGATCCACTCTTTTCAGTTATTAGCCTATAATTTACAGTAATAAAAACATTATCTATTAAACAGGTTTGTCAAAAATGGGTCCACAGTCAAACAGGGACCCATCTCTTGCTCATATTACAAAGAAAATAATTTTTTTAAAAACCCAGAGGGTGAAATCAGCTTCTTGTAGAGTCAGATTATCTGAGTAGCAGTTTATCACAGTGAACACTAGGTGGCGACGTGGCGTGTGAAATCACTCCATTCATATTGTAGGCCTTTATTTCTTCCCAACCTAGAATTAAGCTCCAGACAGGATAAAAGATGAGCTATAGACAACTTTTATTTAAACTTTTACTGACTGACTTCCATTTTGTGCACTATTTCACTCTGGACACCAGTTCTTACAAACAAACTGTCATCAGCTGGTGAAGCATAAAACAGACTGTGGTATCTACCCTCGCCCTGCAGTGAAAAGAAACAGCTGCATATTATTTCATCAGGTGAAACAGCAACATAGAAATGTAGAGGAATACTAGATCAAAGTCACACTATAGGCCCCTGTGAGAACATTATAGGACCATAGAATGAGTCACGAAAGGATACCGTTAAGGTCACTAACAGCCTAAAACCCCTAGTGAGTACAGAAACACACACAGTGTACCCTACAGGAATAAATGAAAGTTATTTCACGTTGTTTGACCCAAGAAACAGGGAAAAATGTCCATCACAGTCCGAAACCCAACCATGTTTAATTTATTATCAGAAATTCTAAGAAGAATATATTATCATAGGAAGAACAGCTGGAAGCAGAGAATGTTTATCAGTCTTCAAAAAATACTGAAACCATTAATCAATTATAAAAAATAAGAAATAGCTGATTATTTTTTGAGTTATTGAATTATTGACTTATAGTTTCAGATCTAAAAGCCTAAATGTTCTATTTGGAGACATGGAGACCCAGGCCCCTCTTTAAAACATTCATAAAAACATTGTTTTATCAGTTTGTTCATGACTTTCCATATTTGAATAGAAAATGCCTCCAAACCTGATTTTGAACTGAAGTTTAGGACATCTGCCACAGACAGCGACATAGTTATGTACAGTGTTAAATACATATAATATACAGTTGATTCCCATTAGCTCTACTTCTGTTATAGGAGTTTTATGACAGGCTTAATGCCTCTAACAGGGACTTTGACCTCTCTGGGGTCCCTGAATAAAAGTCACTGAGGGGGAGAGCAAACTGCATTTCTTTGTCTGTCAATGGTTTTTTGGCAAACAAAAATATTACTTATTTCTTCATTCACAGCCCATATAACACATGAAACATAAAATATTTCCTTTTTTGGTGTAATAACAAGGCTTTATGGTTGTGTGTGTGCGTGCGTGTGTGTGTGTGTGTGTGTGTGTGTGTGTCACACCATTTATTAATCCAGTAAGGTCAGAAAAAAGAAAAGGAAAGGATAAAAAAAAAACTGATGATTGTGTAACTATTAATATTATTACACATACAGAAATGGAGTCTGTGTGACCCCAGAACAAAAGGGTTAAATATTACTCACTGACTGCAACTGTGAGTTCCTGTTTTGCTGGGATATGAGATGGCCACCTTCACAAGCCTACCCACTTTTTCATAATGCAAATAAAGGCCTTGTATAGGGGGGTCTGTCTCTCTCTCTCTCACACACACACACACACACACACACACACACACACACACACGGCAGCCCTCCCCAGCACGCAGATGGCCCAGTCTCTAAACCCCGCCTACAGTCTTTTGTCTTCAGGGAATCTGTCTCTCTGCTGTCGGTGGAAAAACTATTTATTTCATGTGTCAGTAGGGGGCGCGACGAGGCTCTACAGAGGCCCTGATGCTCGTTGTAAGAAGTCAGTCTGTCTGCATACAGTCGGACAGACTGACAGACATCCACATATCAACTCATATCGCAGTTGAGGTGTAACTCTTTGCCCTACTATCTGTATGTTTCCCTATTTTTGTAAGTATTAAAGACTTTCTCTACATTCTCTCTGGTGTGTGTTGGCAGGAGTGAATAATGAAATTCAAGCTGCCCCCCCACCTCCACCCACACATATACTGGTATACAGACAGACACACACACACACACACACACACACACACACACACACACACACACACACACACACACACACACACACACACACACACACACACACACACACACACACACACACACACACACACACACACACATACATGTTCTGCTGTAGACCAAAGATTAGTAGACAGATAGATAGCGGAGGAGATGGAGAGGAAAGAATGATGGGGGCAGAAAATAATGAAGATACTAGAGAGAATGAGGAAGAGGAGGACAGAGTAGAAAGATGAAAGAGGAAGGGGGGGAGGTGAGCGAGAGAGCAGCATCGAGGGGAGAAGGAGAGGGGAGGAGGATGAGAGAGGGAATCAACAGATGCAGTGTGGAAAGGAGCAGAGGAGAATGGTGGACGAGGATGAGGCCTCTCTCTCAACGCAGCGAGCCCTGCAGCACAGAATCACAGCACATAGACTAGACATCCACTCTACTATTCTACTATATGGTTGTACAGTACGTCTACACACTGCCTAGATGTGTCTCCTGCAGTGGGACGTCCATATCTGTGCAATAACAGGGAGTGGTTTATGGCTGATTGTGCTCAAACTATGTGGAAGGCCTTACTGCAGCATGAGTCAAGTCTGCATCAACTTCAAATGAAAGAACTAGCTTAGCTTATCTGGAGTTCAGTGGAGAATTTTAGCCTCATTTGATAATGTAGTGTAAATATTGTGTCGTAGCCTTTTCCATTCTAATAACAATACAATTCTAGGTGCAACAGTATTGATATAGAGGATGTTTTTGTTCTAGCAGAGTGATGAAGAAAAACTTAAATATTTAAACTTAAACTACTACTTGACAGTTTGCCATTAGATTTGGATCATGGGTGTGTCCAGTGGCTGGCCTGGGATGGCACAGGCTACCCTCTGATACCAGTTTGGCCACTAGGTGCTGCTACATTATCCTCAACTCTGATTGGCTATCTACTCGGTCAGAGGCGGGGCCTTAGTTTAAACAGTGTTTGATGAATAAACTGGACATTTGTTCATAAAATGTTTTAATTGTCCAGAATGGTTTTCAAATGGCATTTCACTGTAGCAAATTTTCTCTAGGAGATTTTTATTGTCAAATGGTTCTACACAATTTTGTATATATATATATATATATATATATATATATATATATTGTATGTACACGTGTATGTTTTTGGGGTACAGTTTCTTCAGAAGCACATGAAAGAATAAAGCATGAAAGCTTTATGTTACATTTGTTGTGTTGTGATTGGTAGGACTGTTTATCTTTTCAACAAAAGCCTTAAATGTAAGAAACTGTAAGATACTGTAATGATTGTAATTGAAGTAGATACATAGACAAGCGGTAAATTAATGCTCTTTTCATTGTCTGTGCATGTGCACATTCTTCATGGGTTAGTGTTAGTACCCCACTTGGGCCACCCCAAAAGGTCTAGACACACCACTGCTCTCTCTCTCTCTCTCTCTCTCTCTAGATATTTACAGTCTAATTCCTTAAAGATGAGGCCTCATGATTTTAGTGACCTTCGGATCTTGCACTAGCTGCACCTTCAGGACAAAATGTTGTCTTTACCAACATTTTTGCCCAAACAAGGCGCCGTATCGTAACTTAAAGGTTGGATTGTCATATTTCCAGTAAATATTCAATATCAAAAGAGGATGATCCATTTTTCCATGTTTTACCCCCAATATCTCAGAAGTTAGATGGCAGATAGGCAGGAAAGTAAGTTCATGCTCCCAAGAAAAGATTTTTGTGATGCCATTAATTTAAGACAGTTTTACAGTTTAATTCCAACGCTAGTTCTAAAAAGAAGTTCAAATATTGTTTTGTTCTTAGGGTTTATAACAAACACAGCAGCACACTGAGCCCCCTACTAGATTGTTTTCAATGTGACCCAATTCTATACTAATTGTATACAGTGTGCCCTATATACTAATTGTCTTAGTAGACTTTTTTTGCAGTACACAGAGAGCAACAAACTTAAAGGATTACGATTTAGTGGCATGGTCCAAATGTGTAGGAGAAACTACAGTGGCTGCAAAAAATGCAAAAGGTCCGTATCTAGAGCAAGTGTTTGGTTTGTCCCTCCTGGGCTACTGTAGAAACATGGCGGTTCAACATGGCAGCCTTTGTAGAGTTAATAACAGCCCATTCTAAGGTAACAAAAACACAACCATTCATATATTCGGGTTATTATACACTAAATGAAACATATCTATGCATATTATATTTCATTTCTGCCAATAGATCCTCCTAAATGTTACACACTGGATCTTTACATATTATTTTTAGGCGTCCTATTATGTAGGAGTTTCAAATGTTTTTGCACACCACCAAAGGTGACATATTATCTTACCATTGTTATATAATCTTAGTTTGACGACATAAGATCCAATTTACGTCATAAAAGCTTGTGTGAGACAGTAATGAGTCATATAATGTGTCATACAGTGCAACTTGAGGCACGATGTCTTGGCATCGGTGCATAAAAATCATATAATGAGTTGGCAAATGGCATCATTTCACTGTCGTTATATCAAGGTGAGGAATACAATACACAACATTTCGACTCACATCCCATATGACTGCAACTACTTGATAAATACAGCAGGAAGAGCTTGTTCTATCACATCTGATTCTAGACCACGCATCTCCTGAGATAACAGAGAAAGTCAGTGGATTCATAGAAGGGAGGGATGGGAGTCAGGGTGAGGTATAAGGGAAGGAGGGAGAGAGACAGCAGAGGAGACAGACCTTTACCTCGACAAAAGTGAGAAGAGCAGACAGATAGACAGGCAAGAAGGAGGAATGAGACAGGTGGAGAGAGGAGGGAGGGAGGAGGTGAGGGGAGGGGAGGGAGGGTGAGGAAAGAAGTGGAAACCAGAGTGAGCTAAAGGGAGAGTGGGAGGGACACTCAGTTCTGAGAGATCGAAGAGAAACAGAACGAGGAGGGAAGGGAAAGGGAGAGAGTGAGAGACGAATGGAGAGGAGGACAGAGGAGGAGGAGAGGGGAGGACAGAGAGAAGAAGAGGAGGAGGATGAAGGGAGAGCCGAGAGGTGAAGGGAAGGAGGGAGGGGGAGGGATGTAGCAGTTGTTCATTAGTGAGGATGTGTTAGGGACTGGAGGACTGAGCGAGGGGAGAGACAGTGGAATGGTGAGTTTCATGGACACTGACTAATGAGAGGAGAGGAGGGAAGGAGGCGAGGGGAGAGGAGAGGAGGAGGTGGCAGGGGTGAAAATGAGATTGGAGAGGGAGGAAGAGGAAGGGGGAGGAAGAGGAGAAAAGGGGGGGAACTGGAGGTGAGCGAAGCGAAACTGCTTTACTGTGTCACTCTAGGGGGAGGATGGGGGGAGGGGAAGGGAAGAATTTGCACGTACGCACACACACACACACTGTTGAAATCGAAAGCAACATGAGAGGAAGACAACAAGAGAGGGGGGACAGAGAAGTAGCCAGAGAGAGAGAGAGAGAGAGACAGGAAGGAGGAAGAGGAGCAGGAGGAGGGGTGAGGAAGGAGATGAAGAGCAGGAAGGAGGGGAGGGAGGCAGGAAAGACAGAGGAGAGGAGTCATCACTGGAGAGAGAAAGTGAAGGGGGGGATGTGGAAGAACAGAGGAGGGAGGGGGGAGTATTAAGGAAGGGAGGAGAGCGGAGGATGCAAAGGAAATGGATGGGGTGAAAAGAGGGAGGCAGAGGGAGGAAAAGAAAGAGGAGGAGGAAAGAGGAGAAACAAAAAAATCAGGTAGGGGGGCACAGACAGTGAGAAGAGAGAGGAAAGAGAGGGAGGGAGGAGGAGAATTAGGGCAGATATTCAGGAGGAGGGAGGAAGAGGGAGAGGGGAGGAGGAGGAGGAGGAGGAGGAGGAGGAGGAGGAGGGAGAAAGTATTGGAGAAGGAGAAGAAAGAGGAGCAAACAGACAGATTTTAAAAAAGAAGTGTAGGGAGAGGAATCCGAGAAATAGAGGGGTGCAGAAAGGAGCAGGAAGCGGGACCGTGGAGAGAAAAAGGGGGGGGACAAAAAGAAATCTCGGAGATGGAGATAAGGTGGAAAAACAAGAGAACTGGGATGATGATGAAGAGGAGGTGGGGAAAAAGAGGAGGAGGTGGTGATGCCAAAGAGAGAGTAGAAAGAGAAGAAGCTGGAGGAGTATGTAACAGGCTGTTACATGTCAGCAGCAGGCACTTGTGAAGGTAGCAGCAGGTTCTGTGTGTGTTGTGTGTGTGTGTGTGTGTGTGTGTGTGTGTTATTGTGTTTATAGCCTGCATCAGGTGTGAGAAATCCTGCTACAGCTATCACTGAAACATCCCTTATTACACACACACACACACACACACACACACACACACACACACACACACACACACACACATCCACCTGTGCACTCACATACATGAACACAGACACACACACACACACACGGAGGCACAACTCTAAATTGTTCGACATGTTAAATAAAAAAATAAGCAAAGTACACTGAGGCTATTTATCTGAGTCATTGTCAGTTCGTGCACTAAGTCACGCACGCTCTTGAAGACACGTTCGCTCACTCACATGCTCACACACACACACACACACACACACACACACACACACACACACACACACACACTAGGTTCAATTGTGCCCCACTCTCCTGCCCTTTTCTCCACCATGCATACATCAGTGCAAGTCTGGACAGCCTGCCTCAGCACAGAGATGCACAGCTGACGAATCCCTCCGCCGACACACTGGCAAGTAGTCCCTAATTTATGGGATTTTGATAGATGGCAGATTAAGAGTCTCCAACAGCTACTGTTTCTACACAATGGTACTGCGTCTTCTTTCTCCTTCTATTTAAACGAGATTAATAATAACTAATAATCATAGTGTGAGTTAGCAGGTGGGCAGTTTTAAAAGATGAGTATTATTTTTCCCTGTCTTCTTTCAGTACGACACGCCGGTAAAACACCACTCTAACGGGTCAAATTACATGTTTAGCAACACAAAAAACCCAAAATAAGAGTAGCTACACTTGAGAGTTTTACAGGACTACTTTTCTTCAATCCAAACGGCTGGTTGGGGAGAGGCGAACGCATCGGGGCGGATGTCCACCTCCCTTTTCCCCGGGTGTTGTCCGCCTCCCCGGCACACACTCACGGCTGCTTCCATCTATCCATGCAGCTCACTTCATTGTACTGACTGTGCTCATCAATTAGACAAGAATTAAACCGTGTTAGATGCAATAATTGTCTTTAAGCACTTCGGAGAGGATTATAAACCGCGGACTGAGCTGCAGATAAGTTTTGAGTGCGGGGAAAGCGGAGAGGACCGACACACAGGTACAGTGTGACTGTTATCTCGACTTCCAACTATTAACGTTACTAATGTAACGCGAGGGGTACTAGCCCGCAAGCTAACTGGCTAACGTTAGCATCCCGGCGACTCAACTAGGTTTGACTTCAGATTGCACTTTGGTGAAAGGGGGGGGGGAATGTCGCCGGATTTTTATTGCTCAGCCTCCAGAAATCACTTCTTAGGTTCAAACTGCGACCGTCTGCAGCTAAACGTCCTGAAAAGAGACCGCCAACTTGAGTTTTAATAACGCAGAGAGCGAGTTTTTGCTCTTTACTCCAGCAGCAGATAGGAGCGTTAGTAGTAGTAACAGCAACGCAAGCGTGGGGAAAACAAAAGGACTTCAAAGTCTGACACACAACACAGATGACTGCTTGGGAAAGCTGGGGAAATATTGATTTAGCTAGCAAACGTGGCTCAGATAAAGCACCGGGTGCGAGTCCACCACCTCTTATTGTATAATGAAGTAACTTAATTTACACAAAAACATCATATTATAAAGGGATACTTAATAAAGGGAGACCCCGTACTGATATTATTACTGCCAAATAGCAACAACAACAACAAAAAAAGCCACTATAAGGTCTCTTTTAACTAAGTCCTGAGATCCATGAGCACATTATTAGTCGCTTTATGAAGACTATTATTCAGCCTTATTCATCAGTATGAGTCAAAGTGAGGCATCATTTAGGAGAGTTGAACCAGCGTTTATGATATAAGATATATATATATAGAACAAATTAAATCCTTTTTATATACTTTAAAACTTGTTTAGCAGTGTGTCGTATGGATTGGTTTTGTGAAGCATAATCACATCAGATTTCAAAATATTGGAAGTTAACGAGCAAGAAAAGTTCCTAGTGGTGATGAGAGGTTGTGGGAACGAATTACTGAGCACCAGCGGGTGGTTGAGCGATACCCATTACTACAAATAAGACTAAGTTGTTATGTAGTATAGTTTTAGCTCTTATTTCTTATAACAGTTAATTAATCTGCCTGAGATCGAGGCTACCGTGGCAGTGTCCGAGGCTACCACCACCACCTAAAACTCTGAAAGTGAACCGGGGCGGTGATCGATACATCCCGGTCTCCTTTTTTTTTCTTTCTACATGTAACTAAAGCGAGTTCCCCCCAAAAAAACTTTAATCCATCGAGATATATTCAAGTAGACACACGTATGTGTAGGTTTGAAGGATGTGAGTTTCCAGTGAAGTTAGAGGGGACAGCTGTTGTAGTTTTGGGGGGCCACCGGGAGCTGCGATAGACAAAGACCCCCAGAGAGCCTCAGACTCTTGTATTGTCTACGGGAGTTTGGTAGATCTGATTTAATCTCTCGTGATGTAAGGATTGGCCCCTCACCCTCTCCGAAAGCATAACTGATCATATTTAATCTGCAGAATGAGGGGAAATCTGCTTTGTCCTGGTCGTGGTTCAAGTAAGGGAACTGGAGGTGAAGTTGCTGATGTGAGGGTGAAAGAAAGCAAGGGTACGCGTTAAAGGCTCGTCGCTATAATTGTTTTAATTGGTGTTTATACTCTGATCAGTGGGTGATATCGCTCTTTGTTTGTGATCACCTGTTTGTAACGGCTCTGTTTGTGTATGGGGAGGGAGTTTAGGGTGCGTTACTTTCTGCTGTGTCCTGAGCTGACCGTCTAGTCTTTTGTGCTACTGGCCCCGAGTTACAGAGAGGGAGAGGGAGAGACAGGAAGAAAACGAGGCTTGGCCACGTAATGATGTAGCACTGACTGTGGATGACACTTTAAATGAGAGCCCCCTTCATGCAGGAGGGCCCTCATGGCACGTTTTCTTCTTCCCACGTTGTTTTTTTAGATGCTGCCACTTGTTAGTTGTGCTGGATTTCTTTAGCGGTGTGTTTAAAGGTTTGTGTAAGATGTGTTAGAGACTGTGACTTGATTTTTGTGATTCATAGATTTTCATACTGCAGACTGGAAATGATGTCAGGCTAAAAATAGGACATCACATTTTGGACATCTTAACAGTGACATTGAATATACAGACAGATATAAAATACGAGGTCAGACCAGGCCAAAGCAACATAAACTAAAATGACGAGATCTGCAATTAATGGTAATTATATTTATTGATAGTTTCTTGATTAATCTACACAATGTTAGAAAATAGTGAAAAATGCTCTTTGTCATTTCCCTACAGCCCGGACATATTCTGTAAGCTTGTTTCATCCAAACAAAAAGCAAATATTCACATTTTAGATGCTGGAACTAGACATTTTCTGGCACTTTTGCCTGAAGAATTACTTAAACGATTAATTTATTATTATTACTATTCTTGACTTGAAGTTGAAGTGAATTTAAGTGCTAAACGTAGTACTCTGAATTGATATGTGAGAATGTGTCTTTGGGCAGAAACTAACAGTTATTTTCATTTTCAATTAATGTGCTGAAAATGTTCTCAATTTAATCTATTGTTTTAATAAAACATAAGAAAATGGTAAAGATGGGCAGCCTATCTCTACGGTCCCAAGGTGACATCGTCACAACATCTGCAAAACTGTAAGATATTCAGGTTATTGTCACATAGAACAAAGTAAATAAGCAAATCTTTCTGGTTAAGGAGCTGAAAAACAGAATATTTGACAATTTTTCTTGATTAATGGCTTCAGTGATTATTGATTACAGTAATGGACTTGGCTGATCTATCGGATCGATATCACAGATACTGACTTTCAACCATTTTACTGACCTTGTTAATATGTTATTGGCCATTAATGTCACAAATCAACAGAAAATAAAGTTTCTTTGTCAGTGTCATTATAAAATACATAGTTTCTACTGTATGTTACATTAATTCAGTCATGGCGGGCTGCCAACTCAGTTCTTAGTGCCACAGCAAAGACTTTCTGTTACAGGTACGGGATCGATACACACTGTATTGGCAGATCGTCTGAGTTGAGGTGTCAGAATCCGTATTGGGAAAGAAAAAGTCAAAAATTATTTGCAGATCGTTTTCCGATCGTCATTTGAGCTCTAGTGTTTCTTAAACAATGGTTCTGGGACACTAAATAGCCCTCTGGTCTGTTTTTGGATGATGCCCCCATGACAGGAGCATGTTGTTAATGAGCTGGAGTAACAAAGGAAGACTTGAGTTAATCAGTTTGGGTTCTTTGATGAAGATGAAGAAGTGCCTGTGGATTGTGTGTGGAGGTACTCTTGCGGTCAGTACTTGGCGGAAGAAGATCAGAACTTAAACTTGAGCCTAAATCCAGCAATTATTAAAAGATGTGTTTTAGCCAGTAAATAGAGACCATGTTAGGACATCTTCATCACCGTAGTCCCACTGAACTGATAACAGAGCAGGGTCCTTTTGATTGGATAGATACCGAGTTACAGGATGAGGCTGAGAGTTACTGAGTGATAATGAGGGAGGGTCATGGAGTGATAACTGAGAGTTGTTGAGTGTGAAGGAGTCGTCATGCAGTAAACCAGCGCTTGGAAAATAAACTCCGCTTAAGGGAAAATAATGGGAGTTCTTCCAAGGTAGCAGCATAAGGTGCTGTTCTACTTTACAAGAGTGAATAAGGTTTTACAGGGTTTCAAGTGAGAACAAATGGCTGCCATGTCACTAATGAACAGTTTTATGGGAGATTGAATCATACTTAAGACAGAGATGGTATTTTGTTGATGCACAGTGGTGTGGAAGTGGGGGAATTTTATTTTTAGGATCTGTGTGTGTGTGTGTGTGTGTGTTGCAGCCATGCCCTCAGTGATGGAGCGCTCGGGGGCCGGGGTCCTGTCCAGGAGCAGAGCCAAGACCGTAACCAACGGCAACAGCCAGCCACACTCTGAAGAAGAGAGCAGCGATGAAGAGCATGCCCATGGTAGACACACTTACTTACACACACACACACACACACACACACACACACACACACACACACACACACCATGGCTAAGTTAGGGGTTGATTTAGCTACTCAATGTGTGGGTTAGCTATTCCAACATGAAGCATTTGCAGCGTGTTCTTGCAGTAGACACATTTCCATTGTACAGACGCATCATGCCAGCTGTTCCGGTTGCATTCGTTGCATTGCTTCTTCAGTCCTTGCACACTGCTCTCCTCTGTCGTCTCCTCCCTCTCTCCTCCACCCCCTTCCCACACTCTTCATCCTCGTTATCCTCTGCCCACATACATTTTTCCTTCCTCCATTCTCTCCTTCACTCACCGACTTGCTGTTGATCTTTCATTTTTTTCAACCGTTATCTCCCTAAGCACATGGACTAAAGATATAGTATGAGATCAAACCCAGCAGTTTAACTTAACGTTCAAAAGCACAAGCCACCATTCCTAACATTATTGCAACCACCACTTTCATCCTCGCCTTCACCTCCTTCATCCCCCTTTTCCTGTCTTCCAGCCATCTCTCTATCTTTTTCATCCAACTTTTATTTTTCTCTGTTTTGCCTCCTTCTTCCCTTCCATCCAGTTTTCTTTCTACTTTACTCACCCCCTTCCTGCCTCTCTCCACCCCATCTACTCCAGTTTCTATCATCCCCGTCTCCTCCCTTCCTGTCGTCTGTCCCAGAGGAAACAGTAATATGTCTCTTCCTACTCCTGGTCTGCTTCCCTGCATCTTCACTGTTTGCCCTCCTCGGTCTTTACTACAGCACTAATTACTCAACGTCTGCCATCCACTGTCTCACTTGGTGATGGGTGATATGCTGAAAATTTTATATCGATACAAATATCATACATAAAGATATTTCGCATAATATATGCTTTTTCTATTGAATTTGAATTGTACTCTTGTATAAAAGAGACCTGTTATTTGCTGTGATTAAAACAACCAAATGTTCAGAAACCCAAACGTTTACAACAATTAAGTAAATGGAACAAGTGAAGACTGAAATAGTCAGCAATTCCTATTATTAAGCTTCACTGAAAATGAGCAGTGGCACTACTTTACACAGTAAAGGAAATATATTTAATGACTGAGGTGGTATTTTAAACCATCATCTAGTAACTACATTGATAGTGAGATGAGTCAGGATCTTCACAATCCACTTCTGATGTGTGAGAAAAACACTCACACACTTGGGTTGGCATCAGAGATGTTCACAAGTCTTTTTTTGCAAGTCCAAGTCAAGTCTGAAGTCTTTGGTCACGAGTCCAAGTCAAGTCTCGAGTCTCTAAAAAAGTCATATGTCTCTTCTGGTTGTAATGAGCCTTCTGTCATCTGCTGCTATCTGGTCTACTAAGAATACTGCACAGCTATATCTAAGAAATTCAAAGCATTTACTGTATTATTATCACTCCTTTATCTATTAGCATACAGTATCAGTACTGATTAGTTGCAGTGCAATATGAAGAAAACACACAATGAATGCTTTCTTTTAAAGGAAACTGTATTCTTCCAACATGAACATACAGTTACAGTATATCTTGCCCCCTATTGTGCAGGCTCAGTGGGACCATAATAAGAACAAATATAGAAAATGTTACCCCTCACCCAGTCAAAGACATTGTAATTAACATCATTCCAATTAGTGCAAAACATCACACTTTAGCTAAATGCAAACAACTTGTAAGCAAAACACTTAAAAGTACTTTAAACACTTGTATAAGTTACTTCTGTGTTATTTATGATGCTGAGCTAACCGTCCATATGCGCTAATGTGACTGACCTATCCGGGTGAGTTTTCAGGTGCCTGATAAAATTTGATGTGGTGGATCCAGCATCCTTGATTCGGGTACTGCAGGCTTTGCTGTCAGCGCTTGTTGGTGCCGTCCCGTTTGAAGTTTTTATAACCAAATGCAATCACAAATGGTACTGGTAGCTGCAGGTGTGCTGCCGGTCGCCATAGTCGTCATCCAAGGTACTAGTGCGTGAGGCTGCGAGGCGCGCACCCAATACGTAATATGGTTACCATGGTTACCATGGTTACCTTGAAAAAAGGAAGGAATCACATTAAGCTCGTCAGACGTTTCAGAGTTTCCTCAATATTAATACGCCAAAAAAGAAAACATGATTGTTCACGAGTCCCAAAACACAGGTCTGAGTTGAGTCTGAAGTCTTTTGAGCACGAGTCCAAGTCAAGTCTGAAGTCTCTGTGTGTGCGACTTAAGTACGACTCGAGTCCCCATCTCGGGTTGGCATCACTTATAAACTCCACTAACCCCCGATCGCACATTACATACATCTGACTGGAAAACAGTAACCAGGTTATTACATTTTACTGCACTTTTCAGAGCCAGAGCTCTGTTTCAGAGAACTTATATTCCATAGTTAAAAAAACCCAACCCATTAAGACTTATTAGAGCATTTTGGGCCATGTTGACTGTTTAGCCACCACATGTCGTTATCCGCCTGTGTTGTAATCTTTGGCGAGTTCAGAAATAAAAAACAGACAGAGAGGTTGGCAAGAACCACAGATTCGCTAAACTAAACTAACGCTAATTATCATTAGCAAAGCTCAGTGTACAAAACATTCAAGTAGCAGCAACGTAGAGTGACGCTTTCCCCGGTTAAAATCACAAACGGCTGCAGGTCATACCAGCTGTTTACCACTTAACGTTAATTCCATGAGTACCTTGATGACAAGCCAAAATTATACTTCTCTGTTGTCAGGTTCAAGTGCTCTCTGCAAGACGGTGTCTGTACAGTGTTTCTGTAACACCACTGTACAACCACAAGTACAGTGTTTTTGCAGGAGTGATACTACTTAACTCTAATGGATCGCTTCACGACAGTTTCAGGAGTTATATATTTTCATTCATATCAGAATCAGATTTATTGCCAGGTAGGTTTTAACACATACCAGGAATTTGTCTTCATGCAAGATTATATACTTAATATGTTTAAACCAGCACCTCCAGTGTTTGAATCAATCACTGTTATTTCAATTTGGTAGGTAAATATAAGTAACGGATTGGACTCGGTATCGGCACAATACTCAAATAGGGATTGTGGCCGAAAAAATGTGACTGGAACATCCTGACTAGATGATCAAACTGATACGGTATTTTGTCAGTGGGGGGAAAAAAAGGCAACCTGGATGTAACTCCAGTTCTAAGAGTGCTACTTGATAGGATAAATCAATAGTAGTAGCCAGTTAGGCTGAGCATGTATGAAATAAAAGAGGATTATCCTTCTGTCTCTCATGTTATCTGTCTACTTATAATCCAAGTTCTGCAACTTCTTGGGACATTTACCAAAATACTTGTCCCCCATCCTCTTTTATCTCTACAGCTCTGTCCATCCATCTGGGAAATAAAACCTCATATGTGTCTTGTCTCTCTCTACAGACAGTATGATCAGAGTGGGAGGAGACTACCAGGCTCAGATCCCAGAGTTCAAACCAGGTAAGCTGGGGGAGAGAGAGAGAGAGAGAGAGAGAGAGAGAGAGAGAGAGAGAGAGAGAGAGAGAGAGAGAGAGAGAGAGAGAGAGAGAGAATAGGGCTGAGAAGGAGACGTAGAGGTGAGGAAATGTGGAGGACATTGAAATGGAGGAAGGAGGGGAATGCAGATGATGAGAGAAATGAAGGTCAAATGACCACTGTGGAAATCCAGGGAAATGGAAAGAGGGGAAGAAAATGATGTTTCTCCTCCTCCAGTTGTAGCTATAATAAAGAAATTAATTTACAGTGTTCTTCCATATCTTTTACCCTATCTGTTTGAATACTAAATCATAGTTTACAGTTTACTGCGGGAATAACAGACATTGGTAACAGTGTATCTGTGTCATATTAACGGGCCTTGAATGAATCCTATTAAGGTGAAGTTGAATCTTGAAAGTTATAAAACGTGTTAAATAATTAGTATTATTAGTGACACCATGCAGTAAAAGGCTTCTTTGAGGTTGATGTCAAGTCTTTGTTTAATAAATAAAAGGGTTAGCTGTGCAATATTCAAATCCTTTATTTTATTTATTGTATCCCCTTCAGAAAACAGGCCTTACATTTTTGTTTCTGATGTCAGATTTTAATTTGGTTTGAGTACAAATGATTAATGGTGGAATTGGGTTTAGTGAAATGCCCTGAGACCATGTATGAGTAGATGTAAAGTGGCTGAACACTGGAAAAACAATCACCATAAATGAAGTCGTCCCACAAACATCAGATTGCATCATAGGAGGAGAGAAGCAGGCAAACCAGCCTCTCTTTTAACAGTGTCAGTGCACAGGTGTTGAATTCCCAAGAGAATTCAGTGGCTGACACGCCACTGTCTCCTCCTCATTTTTCTTGCTAATGAAGAGGATGCCAACGATGGAGACTGGACAGGAGAAAACCTGCAAAGGAGAGGGAGGAAGAAAGTAAAAGTTCTGTGAGGATTGATAAGTAGACCGTCAGCGAGAGAGAGAGATATGCGGTGGAGGACAGACAGGAGACATAGACGATGTGACCCAAGTAAAAGAGGGATTTGAATATACATATAACTTAAATAATATATAAAAATGTCCCTGTTTATTTCCATTACCAGATAGTCCAACCCGCTACAATGAGAAGGACCAGAGGAGCATGTTGGTTTGGTGTCCCAACAGTCAGCTTTCTGATGCAATGTGTAAGCCACACACACACACACACACACACACACACACACACACACACACACACACACTCTCTCTTACACTTTCACACCTATCTACCTTACCTTCCATTCACTGGCACAAGCTTAACAACATGACCTTCAGTTTAATGGCTATATGCTGACTGGAGAACTGCAATGAAACCTTTGCTCTGGTTTTCTCATACTCTCTTGCCCCCTTTTGTCTTCATCTCTTTCCCCTCATTTCTTTATATTTCCCTTTCATCATCTTTCTTTCCCTTTTTCATACATATCTTCTCTTTTCTATCTTCCAACTTACCTCTCTTTTGAACCCATTGTCTTCTTTCTTCATGTCCCAGTGGATGAGTACATCCTGATGGCTAAAGAGAAACATGGATACAACATGGAGCAGGTACGGCAGATCAAGATACAAATGTTGCTTGTTTGTGTCTCTCTCCTCTGATTTGTCAACGTCCCTGGTTGCCTGACCCCGTCCTTGTCCCCTCTGTTCCTTCAGGCTCTCGGCATGTTGTTATGGCACAAACACGATGTGGAGCGCTCACTCGCCGACCTGGCCAATTTTACCCCCTTCCCCGATGAGTGGACAGTGGAGGACAAAGTGCTGTTCGAACAGGCCTTCAGCTTCCACGGCAAGAGCTTTCACCGCATCCAGCAGATGGTGAGGGACTAAAAACACACGCAGTCTTACAGTTGGTGCACAATTGAGTGTAATTTCGAAAACATTTTCAATATTTAATACTGAATTTATTTATTTCTGTGTTTGTGGGTAGCTTCCAGACAAGCTGATCTCCAGCCTGGTGAAGTACTACTACAGCTGGAAGAAGACCAGGACCAGGACCTCTGTCATGGACCGACAGGCCAGGAGGCTGGTCAACAAGAGGGAGAAAGATGACAGGTATAAGATACCATGAAACTTTAATGGTCCCCAGGGGAAACTGGGCATGAGTGGAGGGATGGACAGAGAGAAGAATGCATATTGAAAGGACAAAGCAGGAATGAAACATTAAGTTCTCAGAAACGACTCATTTGAGATCTGACATTTACAAAACTCCTTTGTTAAATGACACTCGATAAGCGTGTCATCCGGGGAAACAAGAGTCTCATGAATATGAATGAGATACTTTGATATTATTTCTTGCCATTTTCAGTTGACATTCTCCAGCATTTTAGAAATAGACAATTGGCTGGGGACGAAGCTAAATCATGGGTGGATTTTCTTTTTCTTCCGGTAGTAATGATGATCTAGAGGAAGGTGACCCTGGCAGTGACAGTGACTTTGAGATTGACGCCAAGAAAGAGGTGAGCAACATAAAACTTTAATAGTGGTTATTTGACTGACAGAGGGTGTGCATGCTTATATAAACACATTTTTGTGTTTAATTAGTCATGACTTGCCCGAGGAGGTCAGCCCATCCAAATCAATGTATCTGTGATCCTTCACTTTCAACTTCATTTATTATACATCAATGTAATGCTGCACTCTTGAGTTGCTGTTTCTTGTAAAAAGATGCAATTCTAATAGAACCTGATGTCTAATATTTGTGATATTTCTCGGTCCGCACAGGCAGTGAAACAGAACCCCAACAGCGCCAGCTCAGACAAGACCACCCCCAGCCGCTCTGGGCCAGTGAAGAAGGAAAACTTGGGGGCTCAGTACCGCCACCACCCGCTCAGAGCCCGCCGCAGGCCACCCAAAGGCATGTACCTGGAGCAGGGAGACATCACATCCCTGTCGGCCTCCCACGATGCCGGGGTGCTAACCGTACGGCAGCTGGATACGCAGTTGGTGTCACTCAAGAGACAGGTATGTACCTTTTTGTGTATTTTAAGCCTGGCCTTGGGCATTTGATTATAAACTGCAGGAATAAATACACTACTGTATGTCTAGAGGTAGATTTTAATGTATCTTTAACTATGTATCTGTCAGTAAAGTTGAAAATGTGACATTCTCTTTCCTCCCCTACACTTTTTCTCTCAGGTTCAGTCCATTAAACAGAACAACAGTAGTTTGAAACAGGGCATAACTGAAGGTGTCAACTCTTTCAGACCTGCTGAGGTAAGTCTTTGTTAATACCACTTTATTTTTTAGACTCCCCTCCCTGCATTCTGCCTCCTTTACATCCTTTATCCATCCCCTCTTTGAATATTGTTTCCTGCCTGTATTTCCTTTTCTCCATCTCTTATCTCTCCTCAGTTTGTTCCCCTTTCATTGATTCACTCTGCCCTTCCCCAACTCCCTCCAGATATTATTTCACCTCCTTGTGGGACTGAGATTAGTCTTAATCTGCTCTTTGCTCTCATGCTGTCATTTTCACCCCTCCCTCCCCCTCCCTCTCTCTCTCTCTTTCAGCCTGCCCCTAAGATGAACTCTCGTTGGACCACAGAGGAGCAGCTCCTGGCTGTGCAAGGTGAGTAAAGGCTGCAGCATCTTCTTCCTTCCTCCTACAGGGTCACCTCGTGCTACCGGCTCTCCTCTCCCTACCTCACATTCACAGGCAGAAATCAGACTGTTAGACACATTCATGTTTTCCACACACAGAAACTGCTAACTACTATAGAAGCACTGACACATGCAGTGTAGGTAACATTTCTCCTGAAATATTACCACATAGGCCTTTGTTCGATCTTGAAGCTGTTTCATTTGAGGTGGTTTGAAAAAGATCATTTACATATTTAAGTTTCCCCTCTGCTTAGACTGAGCTGTTTTTCTGTAGTGGAGCTTTGTCTGGCTGTGTCTGATATTGTTTGCACTATTTAACTGTAAAGGGTAATCACCATTTGTTGTATTGTAAAAATATTCTAACCTATGTAGTGGACTCAAAGTATCCCACAATGCAACATAAATTGGTGTATGATAGATGGTCACTAATGAAATGAAAAGAATGGCCTGTTTTGTGTGAGAAATAGTTTAATTTTACCATCTGACACTCCATCTATAGCGACGATGCACTGATTTCCATTTAAAAGACAAATGTAGGTCCTCCTGTTGTTCTGCCTTTGACAATTTGATGCAGCTGAAATAAACAGGAGCTACTGGGATTCAGTTCCCAGCTGTGATTGAAGTGAATTAAAATCAGTGTCCACAGCACATTGTCAGATAGAGAGACACAGTTGTGTTATAGCTTTCAATGAGGGTTATTCATTCAAGGGGGATCCATGGCTGGTGAAGTTATTTATTGTTTGTTGTAATGGACACAGAGCTCTGCATGGCCTGGCACCCAACTAAATTAATTGGTGTTAAGTTCCCATTGACTTACGTGGAATTAGATGTGTTTTGTTGTAATAACTAAGTTATAATCACATGTTAATATGCGACAAATGAAAATGGCAAAAACAACCTGATGGGTTATTAAGGTGGTCTATACTACATATTATGGACACTGAAGGTTTCAGCATTCTTTACCAGAACTACTTCATATTATGTGTTGTAAGTCTCTAAAAAGTGTTTCTTTCTGTTCTGAATCACATCAAAGGCGTAGTGAAAAGCTTGCCATCATAGCCTCATCCTAGTTAGTTCATGTATTGGGATACGTTGGGAGTTGTGGAGATTTCAATCTCTGTAGATGAAATCCATAAGTTGCAGTCAAGGTCAGAAAGACAACTTCCCTTTTCCTTTAGCGGCTGCAGTCAGCGTGCTTTTAAAGCATAGTCCCCCTCAACTGCAGCTGAGTAGTGCAAACAGAGGAAAAGAAAGCAGAGGTTGAGAGATATGAATGTGTGTAGTAATGTGAGTGTGAAAGGCCTGGAAAAGAGCAGGTGCACTCAGCTGGCCGACCTCAGATGAAGGTTAACAGAAAGCACACATCAACAAGCCTGCTCACGCTGCGTTCACGCTTCCTGTCTCCCCTCACACACACACTGCCACATTTCTCTGACAGAGAGCGAGAAAGCAGACTGTTTTTGTAGCTTTTTGGTGGCGACGAGTTAACCTGGCGTTCTTCTGTCTCCTTTCCAGCTATCCGTCGCTATGGTAAAGACTTCTCAGCCATCGCAGAGGTGATAGGGACCAAGACACCAGCTCAGGTGAACATCCTCTTTCTAAAGTGTTGAACTTGGGTTGGGGTCCTGTGAAGATCCCGTCTCTCATCTTTTATTTTGACCTCAGTCTAACCCTCTTTCCATCCAGCAGTTTACTTTCTGTGAGCTATCAGCTTTTCATCTCCTCTCCAATTTCCCCCTCATCCCTCGGTGTAGATAAGCATTTTTCTTTATAGGATAACTATAATCTCCATTATCCCTCCTTTCATTTGTCTACTGACCTCCAATCTCCGCCTCTGTGTCCTTGAAGGCAGCACAACTTTCTGTCCTCCGTCATTTCTTTTCTGACTCTCCGTCTCTGCCTGTCCGCTCAGGTGAGTTCGTTCTTCGTGAGCTACCGGCGTAGGTTCAACCTGGACGAGGTGCTGAGGGAGTGGGCGGCCGAGCAGGTGGCCACCAGCCGAGACCAGAGAGACTCCAGGAGGAGCGGCGAGGAGATGGCAGCAGCTACGGATGGAGCCGCCGAGGAGGACGAGGTGAGCCGCCGAGGAGGATACACATTATATCTTTTTTCCAAGCGTGAAATGAAACCGATGACATCAGTCTGCATTAAGTACAGAGCTGGAGTCAGAACATGGTTAGCCTAGCATAGCATCCTTGCATTAAGACTGGAGGCAGGGGGGAAACAGCTAGCCTGTCCAAAGGATCGTGTTGTATCTTGTTCACTTAATCCGTACTCAAACAGAAATGGTTTAGTGGGAGTTATAGGCTGTAACTTCTTGGCAAACAACAGCCCTGCACAGCGATTGTGTCATCAGAGGGAGTTTGTCAGGTTTGGTGCCATCGTGCCCAAACCTGACCACATATGGTGCACACCAGCCACATCTGGCAACAGAAACTGAAACTTTGTCAAGCAATCGTTACAACACTAACTCTTACGAACTAAAGTTTCATGTTTTATCAGTGAGCTGCAGATATGTTGACAGGTATAGTTTGAAAAGTTTGGAAGCAGTGGAAAACAGGGGCTTGGCAGTGTGCAGTGTTTATGCTAAGCTAGCATAGCTTACCTAATGGAAGCAGACTGATGTTGATCTTCTCATTCGACTGTATTTTTTTATGCTGAACTATTGTTCTAAGTAATCAAAGGAATAGTAAGCATTGTCCTTCATCGTCTCTTTGACTAATGCTCTGGTCAGCTGGTCAAAGTTTTATTTATGGTCATTCATATTTTTTCTTGTAAAACCTTAATTGCACCTTTTTATACACCTAAAAAGATTTTAGAAAATTCCATTAAAAGTGAAAACTACAGCCTGGTATACTGGAGAAGAGTTGGAGAAGGGGAAACGTCTAGCTTTAGTTCCAGATTCGATTAAGTGTCCTCTCTTGTTTGCCATAAATACAGTATATTCAAAATTCAAGATGGCGTAAGCTCCGAGGAAGAAATGAGTAAAAAAGCTTGTAAGATATAAAGTCTGTGTCATTAACAGGACCACCAACTTAATGCTGACTCGCAGCTTAAAATGCCTGTCGGTGCAGTCGGTAACTGAAGTGGATTTAATTGGTGACATTCATAGATCACAGCTCCGAGGATACCGAGCAGAAGGAGCAGGTGGTTGTAATATTCTCTCCTGTGTCGGCTGCTGTGGTTCCTCCTCTTCATCATATGACATCTGTTTCAATTCACTCTCTCCTCAAACTCTTCCTCTCTCCACCTCCTTCCTCTTTGTTGTTGTCCAACTGTCTTCTTATCTCACTTCTTCTTTCATGTCTACACTGTTTGCCCTCCTCCTCACCTCTCTCTCTGCCTCCTCCCTCCCCTCAGGTCAAAATGGAGGACTCTCCCTCAGACGCCGCCGGCGGCTCCTCTCCCCCCTCCTCCACCCAGACCCCCTCCTCCCTCTCCCAGCCGCCTCCACTGCTGCGCCCCGCGCCTCCGTCGGCTCCCCCCAGCCTCCTCCGCCAGCCTCCACCTCTGCAGACGCGCCCGCTCCAGAACCGAGCGCCCCACAACCACCCTCCGCCTCCGCTCATCCGGCCCGCGGTGACCACCTCGTCCTCCTCCACCGGGAGCTCCAGCCTCAGGGCTTCTCCTCCCAGCTCCTCCTCCGCTGCAGGGCAGATGCCTCCGTCGCTGGTCGGCCTCAAAGTGGAGCAGCCCAACTCGCACTGATACACATGCACACACACACACACACACACACACACACACACACACACACACACACAAGATAATAGGAATAGAAACACACACACACACACAAACAATAGGAATAGAAACACACACAAATTAGCATGCAGACTTCACCCTGTAACTCCATCGCTTCTAGCCTTTGTTTTCTGGGGACCATCACACATCACATGACCACCTGATCGATTGAACACGCTCAGGTCCCTAAGGTGACACACAGCTCTTAAAATGTGGCAGGAAGAGTGTGAGGACCCCCGCAGGTCTACTTTGTAAGGCAGTGGCCTGGAGCCCCTTTACTGTACTAACAAACACCTACCTCCAGACCAACGTTCCCGAGTGTAAACACACACACACACACACGCACACACTACAAACAAGCTAGGAACTCAAAACAAACACTACCTGCACAAACCTCCCTGATGAAAACAAAAAAGAGACACTGGATCATCAAGCTGTTGAAGAAAGCCATGACCACTCAGAGCAAAACCCACCTGCTTGTTTCCATGGCAACTGCAGAACATCTGGATTGCGGAGGAGTGTGGTTGAACATAAACATACACACACACACACACACACACACACACACACAACAACAACACTATATATATATATTCTGTAGGTTCCACTGGGCAGGTATCAAGTCATCCAAACTACCTTCAGGAAAATGAAATGAGGGAAGGGAAAGGTGAGAGACGGAGGAAGAGTTGCCCACATCTGAGTCAAACCTGAGAGGTCGCGTAGATTAGAAAATCATTCAGATAGATTGGAGAAACATGCCTTGTCCTATTGAGCTTTGCTTTAAAACTTGGACCCTCTTAGAGGAGTCAAAGAAGGTACTTTTGCAAAGAAAGCGGGCTTTGTAACCGAAGCTGTGCTACGAGTTTATCGTTCTGGCTCTTAACAGATGAAGCCGTTTGTTTAAAAATGGAAAAAAAACAAGAGCAAGAGATCCCACCTCTCCCTCTTCTCTCATAGCCATGTATTACTAGTATTAACTGGAGTGATGTTTTTTTTTTACTAGACTTTTAAAGTGAGCTCTAGGTAGGCAGTTAGTTATTGTAAGTAGTTTAGATAGTGAATACTTTATTATAACGATGATTATTGACTGAGCACTAAGGAGAAAAAGAGCCTTTTAATACATGTGACTGGACTGTGTCTCACGTTTCAAGAAGACATTTGCCGTCAGTTTGTTTTTCACTGGCTCAGTGTTGAAGTCTCACTGCTTACTGTCCGTTACATTTGAGGAATATTTTCAGTAGTCGACGGCGAACAGCGGAGCAGCCGAACGGAAAATGTGTGTAGAGGTTTTTAAACCAGGTTTACAAAGTGAAGGGGACAGTGGATCTCTCCTGACCTCCTCCAGACACTGAATAATAAAATGTTCTGCCAAAGTCTGTTATTGCTTTAAAAGCTCGTCGTCCCACGGAATTTCAACGTCTCCAGTTAGCGGTTGAGCGTCTTAGAAGAATCTGTTTAACATTTTACAACTGTTGGTTTGTTTCCTACATGTTAGACAGGAAAAGTGGCGAAACAAAAGGGGTTGAAGGAACAATTAGACATTTTGGGAAATACACGTACGTAAGCTACTGCCAGCAGCCGGCTGATTTATCTTAGCACAAAGACTGGACTGTTTAATCTGTGCAAAAACCTGTAACCTCTGTACGTTTTTGTGTTGTTGATTTGCTAGACTGTTTCTTGGTCAGGACCAGTAACTACCTGGAGTTGGACAAGAAATCTTCCAGGTCACAACCGCCCACTTATGTGTATTAAACAACAACAGATACGGCTCGTCAGTCAGTGATCTTTAGAGGTGCTGCTATGTGCTACCTTTGCACTGAGCCAGGCTAGCTGTTTCCCTCTGTTCCCAGTCTTCATGCTAAGCTAAGTTAGCCAGCTGTTGTCAGTATCTTCACATCAGACAAGAGAGTGGTTGAAAGTGTATTTACCAAAATATCAAACTATCAGCTTGCTTGAAAGAACTGAGTTCAGTATTTTGTTAAGAAGCAGGTCAGAATAATTGAAGTGAATTTATAAAGATGTGATGACAACTGTCTGAAGCCCTGTGAGTTCAGTAAAGGCAGCTTTCTCTCTGGTAGTTCAAAGTCCTGTCCAGACACAGAAGGGGCTGTGGCAGGTCAAAGGACTGTCAGGAAATGCTGCATCTTGTTTCTCATCCCTGCCACAGTGCAGTTCCCTGCCTCTGAGTTGTTCCTCTAGCTCGTGTTCAAGGATATCAGGCAACCTCATGAACAAATGTAGATGACTGAATGATATTCTGCTGTGGTTTCTTGTTTGTGATTTTCTTTTGGGCATCGTCTTGCGCCCGCCATCCCCCCACCCCCTACCCCACCCCCACCTGCTGAATCTCGTCCCTCTTCATAGTCTAGCTGTCTGTGAGTCGCTGCCTTCTCAAGCAGGTCTGGGATCACACGACATGTAGAAACCTTCCTTTAAACTGTGTTCGGTGCTTCTCCACTAATACATTTCACACCACTTCCTTTTGTTAGCCGAGGCCTTCAGCGTTCCGTTTGACGCAGCACTGAGCGGGAATCAAAGCGACCCATCACTACGTTTGGCTTTAAAGTGGCTTGTCTTTTGACTTTGCGTGGACTTTTCTTACATTTTGTTTCTTCCTCCAAAAAACTGCTTGTGTGTACTGTATGTGAGAAGTTGTTTACATTGTGGAAACTGAATTGTTTGTGTTTGAGAAATGTTTTTTTTTTTTTTTTAGAATAAAGAAATGACCAAATTGTACAGTATTTGTTATTTTAAAGCAGTTAGTCAAACACACCATGGTAATGTTATCTGTGAGTTTGGGGTCTAAACAATCGAGAATAAGCTGTTATTTCACAGAATGAAGAAATCTGTTCAGTTTGTAATATTGACCTAATTTACACCTACAAGTGTGTACAACTATTATCTGTCAGCTTCATGTGCACATCATCTGTTCCCAAATGCCAAGTCTCATCAAAACACCATCTGTTGACTCCCAACAGGTTCGGCCACCTGCAGCTCCCACATTCCTGAGCAGGGCTGGGCACACAAGCACTTTGTTGGGCTTCACCTGAGAACCAATGAGTGAATCAGAAGTCTGTCTACAGTCTTAAGACAAAAAAAAAACACACACCGATATGAAACAGCTATAAAATAAGATGTGCAACTCAAATCAACGTGAGAGACATTTAAAACAATCTATATGAGGGAATAGACCCAACAGAGCACACTACAAGTAATTGCCTAAAGATAAAGGATCCTGTCTTGATATGTATGCAGTGTTACCATGCTGGGTTACCATCAAAGCGGGCGTCTCCCTGTGGGTCCCAGTAAACATCCCAGTTATTCCCAGCAATTAGTTTAATTTCCAAGTTGTAATGGAGTTTGCATCCTTTTCCCTTATAGAGTAAAATCAACATGGGTCCCGCATTATGAGCCAATCTGTGGCCTCCTTCTAGAGGGATGCTGTGCAAAAGAAGTTTAACTCTTTTAGTTTATATTGTGCTTACATTGTGCCTGTTCATAACACAAACTGACAGAACAACTGCAGATGGGTGACAATGCAGCATGTGAGGGTAGGTTGTTTTCTAGGTGTCTGGATAAAGAATAAAGTTATCACATGCAGTCTGAACTAGGAGGTGTATGTACCATACAGTCCTCAGACCTTCATCAGGTAAAATAGAGCACAAGTGACCGACAGTGTGCAGGATTTTCTTCTTTAGGTTCTTTGTCATGAGATGGACCTGACAATAAGACTTCCTGCAGTGCAAGAACTTTGTAGTCTTACGTGCTGGCTCAAAAGGGCCCACTAATAAGATTAATGCTGACAGTCACTACATGATGTATAACTATTGATATTATCCTACACAAGAAATGTGAGCTTATGAAAATGTATAATTATAACTAGTGCAACAATCCTTTCACACCTGAAAGTGACCCAGTTGTAATTTCCAGTTTCATTCTTTCACACCTGCAGGAACTTGTCAGTTAAATGATTTTCTCTCAGTGCGCCCCCTACTGCTACTGTGGAGCACTGCCGCTTGTGTCTCACAAATACCAAGGATTGGAACTAGCAGCATGTTTTCATTTACATCCCTAATCTGAATTATATATTGGCTTAAAAAATACTGTTAGGAAATATTGATATTTGTCTTTACAGGCTTGGTGCTGTATTAAAATGAAGAGTATATATCTAAATAGGCTAGAGTCCATGAGAAAACCTTCATTTATTCAGACTCTTGGGCAGAGTGGAGGTCTAGTAGACGGGGAAACTGTAGTTCAAACAGTCAATGAAATTCCATGAAAAGTCAGCAAACTCCATCTGCTGAGGATGATCATGTGATATGAGTGAGAGCTTCAGCTACTAAATGTACCAGGTGGTGAGATTGTGTCATCTACTGAGAGCTTCCTGGAAGAGCAGAAGATTGTTTGAGCACATTTACTTACTTTTCACATGATGGATTTCAGAGGCAGACTATCATTATATCATTGTTTTTATTACTATCATTGTAATTTTTCATCATTTTGTCTTTGCACAAAAAAAACAAACAAATAATACATTTTTCAGGAGTTGATCACCCCTCCCAACCCCAAACCCACCACTACAGTTACAGTTTGCTCAAAACACATTTAAAATCAATGTAAATTACAGCAATGTAAAACGAAAATAATGTAAAATAAAATCAACCCTGAAAGAGATAATATAACAGCAACAGCCAGAATAATAATTAGAATCCAATACCCAGCACCTTAATACAATGATCAACTTTTAAAGAAAAATCTGACGTATTAAAAACTGAAAGAAATAATAAAACGACAGTGTGTCATTGTGATAGAAAGAAAGAAAAGTGTTAAGTTAGGTACAACCAGCTGACGGGACCCATCGTCCCCTTTTCTCTAACCCCCGAGAGAGTGTGTGTGTGTGTGTGTGGGTGTGTTTTTCTTCTGCTTCGACAAACTGGAGCGTCAATGCAAAAAAAAGAGAGAGAGAGACAGGAAGTGGCTTCTTCTCGTTTGTGGTCTTGAATGTGAACGTGAGCTCTGATATGAAAACGTTTTTGACGAAGAAGCCGTTTCCTGCCTTCTCTCTCTGCTTCAAGCCATTCTGGACTGATAAGGCCTTTAAAAAAAACAAAACAAAATAAAAACAAACAGATGAAAAAAATGGCCAAAGATGAACGAGCAGTAGTCGACACCACCACCAACATCATTAAATACATCGATAACTCCTGCCTGCGCTTGGGGAGGGCGGGCGGGCGGGGTTTATGTTTAATCTGAGACACTATGAGCTGTGTGTTAAATGTGTGTGTGTGTTAAAAGGTGCACTACACTGAAAAGGCAGCAATGATATGATCTGATCTGACGTGACCCTTCACACCCCATCCAACCTCCCCCATGCCCGAAAATCCAAATCTGTACAAACCCCAAGTTTTCCAACGACACAAAAATATATTATCAAATCAAAAGTAGAAGAAGAAAACATTTCACCATTCGTCGTCGTCCTTGTCGATTCTTTTTGTTGTCGTTTTTTTTTTCCAGTGATCTTTTATAATACACTCACACACACACATACTGTTTGTTACATACTCCAAAGACACCTTATTTGTGTGTTTGCTCTTTGGGAACACATGTAGCAGAGAGGGGGATGGGGTGGGGGGCAGGGGGTTGACAAGAAATGCGTCGGTTCAGGGTTGACATTCTGGATATGAAGGCGTGATGCCAACCGAAGCGATACCAACATTAACAAAAAAAAAAAAGTACAAATAAATCATTTGAGCATTTATGTGCTGACGTATGCAACAAAAACAAACCCCAAATTTAATTCTATAAAGAAAGGCAACATAAAATCCATCAACAACCCCATCCATCCCTCCCCAGTTTCCCATATGCCCCTCTTTTCCAGTGCACAACTCTTTTTTATTTTCAAAAGCCATTAAAGAAAAAAACAAAAGTACGGACTTGAAGGGTTGAAGCCCGAACAATCGATGACGGCATCAAGTTTAACTGGCCTCCTCGGACTTGATGGCGCGAGAGAAATTAAAAAATGAGGAAGAAAAAGGGAGTGGAAGAGGTGAAAAAGATGGATGTGTTTGTGCTGAGTTCAGTTTGAAATTACAGGGAGAGGGTGGTGTTTGAGTTTGTGTGTGTGTGTGTGTATGTGAGGGGAGGAGGGAGGTGGTGGAAGGATGGATCAGGTGGAGTTTTTAAATGTTCATTTTGGGGAAGGAGGGGACGTTTGTGCAGGCAGGTGGAGGGTGGAGAGGGTCCTTAAACCAATAACAGCAGAGTTCGTCCATCCAAAGTCCATCTGTGAGTGTGTGTGTGTGTGTGTGTGTGTGTGTGTGTGTTTGTGTGTCGCGTGTGCGTGTGTGTGTGTGTGTGTGTGTGGTGTGTGTGTGTGTGTGTGTGTGTGTGTGCGTGAGAGTGGGCTTCAGCGACCAGAGTCCTGGCTCAGTTAGAGTCCGTTCAGTTTTGGAGGAGAATCAGAACACATTCAATCAAAACTCCTTTCCAGCAAAATAAGGCTCCGAGCTTTCTGTCAATCACCACCACTTGTTACAGATTGAGAGAGAAAGAAGAACGTTTTTTTTTTTTCTTTTTTCAGCAATTCCTCTGCTCTCCTTCCTCCATCCAGCCCCCCACGTCTACCCAGTTTCCCCCCCTACCCAAAAAAGACCTGGCAGCAGAATCGTGCAGAAAAACTGAATAAATAGCAGGAAGAAGTGACAGGAGTGGTCAAAGTGATCAAAGTGTGACTTCTATAAACCAGAGAGAGCAGATCGGACATGCAGAAGAGTGGAACGTCTAAGTAGAACGTGACAAAAAAAAAAAGAAAAAAAAAAAAAAAAAAAAATACCCAGCAGGGAAGAGAGAAGACCTCGGTCTATAAGTACTTCACAACTCAGAGTTTCTAATCGCAGGGCCTCGGGAACTTAAGGAACAAAACTTCTAGAAAAGAAACATTTTCTAGTCTCAGAGAACCGATAGCCCTACTTCAGACCTTTGTCCAGATAACAATCGTGTTATTTTTAAAGTGATCCCACCCTTTAGCTTACCTCCTGACCTCCACAGCGCCCCCACCCGGCTTACATCTTTATCCTCGCTATCACCCCCTTCACCCTCCCACCTCCACCCTTTAATCTCATCTCCCCTCGCTGCTCCTCCACGCACTCACAGTTTGAGCTCGTTGGCAATCTTTGAGGCAATGTTCTTGAAGGCGATGGACGTGCCCGAGATCCGTTTGAAGCGCACGCCGTTAAGGGAGAGCCGCGGCAGCTTGCACACCTCCATCTCCCACTGGACGAAGTCGTCACGGGCTGGGTTGCCCGACATGCAAAGCAGCATGTAGCGCTCGCGCAGCTCGTACTCGCAGCTGTTGGAATCGAGCACCTTGCGAATCTCGCGCATCATCTCCATGGGCTCCATGGACGACGTGGTCTTCATGGACCATGTGAAGCGAAGTGAGCGTGGCTTGGCCGAGTCCTTTTGGCTGGCGATGGCTGGAGGGGTGCCGGTGCCACCTGAGGAGGGAGGGAAAAAAATGGTGGTGAGAAGGTGAAAGATGGGATAACGGACAGAAGTGATAAGAGATGGTTGCATGACAAATAACAGGAGATAAAAGAAGGAAAGCAAACAGACGCGAGGGGCCAAGAATTATCAGAGAACAGGACAAAGGACAGGAAAAAGGACAGAAAATAAAGTGAGGAGAACAAAGATAGAGGGGGGGAAAGAAAGCAGAAAAGGAAGGGTTGAAAAACTGAGTGTGAGACAAGAAGAACGAGACAAGAGTGGAGAAACGAGCGCAGAATGAAAAATGAGAACGAGCACATAATGACTGCAATATTCTCTAATAAAAAACCCCATTAAGACAATTGTCTGAATAAGAATTGATTACCATGACCTGAACAGTGTTATAGTTGGATGAAGTATAACTGAATCCAGATATGAAGATTTAAAAACATTTTTCAAGTTTGCAAATGCTGCAGTGACATTAAATGACAAATGATACCGACCCACAATCCCACATTATTGCACCCTTTTACCAAAACCTGAAGTGTGTTCAGCTGCTACCTCACTGCCAGAAACTCGAAGGGATAAATCAGTTAATGAGGATAACTGTGGTGCCAAAAACTGAGTTTGAACTATAAGATAGCAGCAACAGTAAATGTTATAATGATATTGACTACATTTATACTGTATCTAATGTGGGTAGTCACATGGACAATACCCGATCTCAGGGTCATCTGAAGGTCAGCACTGGGCTGAATTCAATCTGTGCATCTCTAGTTGTAATGCGAGCTTTCCACTGTTCAATCAATTTATAATTTTAACCAAAAAAAATGTCAGAAAATAGTAAAAACTAAAACTTTTCAATGTACTATGACATAAAACAGAGGAAGCAAATTTCAAATCCAGATTTGAGAACCTAGAATGAGCAAATGTTATGACTCAATTAATCCAAACTTTTGTTGATCATATGTCAGTTAATCAACTAATCTGAACTATGGAGTACCTCAAGGGTCTGTGCTTGGCCCCAGTTTAGTTTCTGTTTTATCTTTCCATTTCTGTGCCACGGTTGTGCCTTTGATCCTTTTATCTTTCCACTTTTCTGTCATAATCTAGCCTAAGCTAATAAAAATTAAATGTTGCTGATGTTGTAAAATATCTCTAACTAACATTGCTTCTCCTCCACAAACGCGAGGTTATGTAACATCACACTGCCGTACTATGGTATTGGGTGGGGTATGGTTACAGGTAGCACTATCAGACAGAATGCTGGTATTGGTATGGGTGCATCCCTGCTGAATAAAAATTGTTATTTAATACCCATGACTGTTCTGTTTTACCTAATATGGATAAAATTAGAAAACAGTGATAAAAACCAACATACCAGTGTTACCAGATCCTGGAGAGGAGTTGTTCTCATCGTTGTTGGAAGAGGAGGAGAGAACACCACCAGACGTCTTCTCGGACTTGTCCACTGTACTGCTCAGCATAGACCTGGGTGAGGAATGGGAGGGTGGAGGAGAGAGAAAAGACAGATGAAGACAGGAGAGGAGAGGGTAGGAAGAGATAGTGAAGGGACAGGAAAGGAAGGGAGTAGGGCGGAAGAAGACAGGAAATAGGAGGACAAGATAAGCAAAGAGAGAAAAAGAAGAAAAGCGTGAGATTGAGGGAATTATTTAAAAAGTGGAGACAAAAAAGGAGGGAAGGAGGAGGGAGAAATGGAGGAATGATTGAGAGGAAGAGGGAGATGATGAGGTCGTGGAAATGAATGAAGACAAAAAGCAAAAAAATTTCTCTTAAGTACCCCTGTGTGTGTTTGTGTGTGCACGTCTCTGAGGTTACCAAAATGTGTCTAAGATTTAGATCTGTGCAGTGAACTTCAAGTCTGCTTACACACAAACACACATTTGGGTACTTTGATTCTGATTCCCATCACACATACACACACCACCATGCAGGTCAACCTCCACACCAGCACTCGCACTCTCTGGGATGCTACCATTCACTGCTAATCTCCCGTCCCCTGATTGGTTAAGCTGTTATCACCATCACCAACCAATTATAACCCAGCTCGGCCCCCCTCTCCCAGCCATTCACAACAAGCTCAGAGATCATCTACTGATTGGCTCCAGTCTACTGATTGGCAGGCGGTTTTATGGTAGAGTCTGGGGGTTTGTAGGGTTTTCGGTTTTTCAGGCTGTTCTGTATCTCACCTGCTCCCCTCATCCCGACCCTCTCCCTCATACGGACTCCTCGAGAAAAATCAACACAAGTTTAGTCTTTTTGAGGGCTAGGGGCAACAAATGGACTCTTAAACAGATAGTAAAATCAGCTGGCTGAACACAGTCGCTCTGCCCGCCACGCGTGCCTGAATGTTCCAATCCAACCACATCCACCACTGATGCCAAATGTCTGATTTCCACTCCAGGTGCTCAAATTTAAGTCCAGAACCACCTGAGAACTTCACATCCCACAATGCAGGTCTCAATGCCAGTACACTTTTTATAACCACTTTATCACAACTCATCTCTAAGGAGGAGTCATTTAAAGTTCAAGTGTAAAGTCCCTCCTACATTCTTAGTAACTAGTAGTATCAAACAAGTGATTTAATAAATTAGGTTGCAACACTGAAACTTAAAGAGTAAAGATTTTAATTAGGAGTAAATTGGTTGCTAGGAAACATCTCTAGTGCTGCCAAATCAGAAGCTTCCTAATAACCTTCCCAAGGGTCAAATCTGACGTTATTTGATCATTCCGTGTGTGTTATTAGCACAATGTTTGATCATTTGAAATAGATATAATTTAAAAATATGACCTAAATGGGTCATATATTACGAGCTAACATTAGCTTTGTCAGTTTATTCAAACACCAGTTGTCAGTTAACAGGTATAAATATTTTGTAACAACTAATATAGTTTGTCTGGTACAACCATTTTTAATTTAGTAAACACTTGAACGCGTTATAACTAGATTTAATTGGATCTTACAAGAAGCTGGTGCAACTAGTTGCAGGATGGATCAGAAAAAGGTGATGGATGGAAAACAACAACTGGTTCAAATGAAATGGAAAGTTTGGACAATAAGTTGAGAGCTCAAAATGTCATGGCTCAATTCAGATCAGAAATTTATTTCTAACCAAGTAGAACAGAATGGAATGGATCCCAGCAAATCAAATGTGAAAAGGAATGGTTTGGAACAGAATGGAATGGAATGGGTTCCAACAAAATATGAAACTGAACTATTATGGTCAAGGATGGAATGGTTTGGAACAGAATGGTCGGCATGGTGAGGGCGAATCGTGCGGCTAAAGGAGGTTAGGAGCATTACTGATCCCAGCACTGCATTAAAACCTGTATTAGTAACATTGGACCTACATATAGGCTGTTTAACACACTCACACTCACACACACTCACACACTCACACACACACACACACACACACACACACACACACACACACACACACACACACACACACTCACACACACTCCCTGAAACAACAATGTAACTGCAGCCTATATAACACATATGTCTCTCACATTCTCTCTCGTACCAGCAGACAAACAATGGAGAAAAGCACACTATAACAAAGAAACACAAAGACAGACAACAGCAAAAACACATGCAGACAATGGAAGGAAAGTGACACACACGACCAATTCAGATTATGGTCTTAAATTCATTCTGTTGTGGGAAAAGACAGCATTCCTGTTTTGCCCCATTAAAATAATAACCAAAAACATGTAAAATACCTCCTGCAACAGAAACATGATTAAAAGATAACACAAGGGAAATGACAAGTGGGGCAGTGGAAAAAAGTTGCACAAAGATTACTTAAATAATAGCGGTAAACTGGTGAACAATGTAAATTAAGTTATGCTGTTTTGCATGCCCTGTATGATTTTAGCTAAGTATGAAGGGATGCAAAATGGCTCCCAGAGGAGGGGCACTGTGACATCAAGGGAAAACAGAGGGCCGATAAGGTGATTACTTGAACCCAAATATCTCACTTGTCAGGTTATTAAGAACTTTCACTGTCCACCACATATAGTGCACTGTAAACACTAGACAACAACTAGAATCTATTCCTATACTCAAGAACCTAAAAACCCATTTGCCACATATACATACAGATATTTTTAAGGCAAGTTAACCATTTCTCCATCTCATATTTCAAATGTAATGATTTATGAGTATCCTTAAATAGCCCAAAGGCATTGCTACTTATATAGAAAAACTGAGAGGTAGTTCATCATAACACTGTGACAATACATTTGTATTATAACTTCTAACCACCAGGTGGAGCAATGGTCCAGAGTAAAAGGAAAATTGCTCTACCTGCTGGTAAAAAGCAACCAACACACCTAAAAGCAAGTGTGTGTGACAAATGTGGTTGGGAACTGCGTGTTCAGCATATATAAATGTAAAATGTGTCACTGTTTTTTTATAGCATCTGCATACTGCAAATATCTACATGAATGTGGACAGAAGTTTTTATGTAAATGTTTGGGTGGGTCAGTATGAATATTACATAAATGTGCATTAAGTGTCATCTGTGTGTGTTTGTTTGTGTGTCCACAGTATAAGGGGTTTTCCAGCCATAGTAGGTCAAAGCCATCCAGTTCTGTTGCTGCTGCTGTTAGAGAGCCAGTGCCAGAGTGAGAACAGAGCGATGAAAGAAAGGAAGAGTGCAGCCTCCAGAAAAGAGTGCAGCCTGAGAAACACTGCAGCCCCGTCCCTCCTGGGTCCTCTCCTCTCTACCTCCTTCCATAACTACCAACTACAGCCAGGGACTTTAAAATAAAGTACTTCCCCAGTGGGATCATCATGAACTTGCACCAAAAACTAGAAACACAACTCCACTCTATGGGCTGATGAAAACTTGATTTTTGTGACCAAACCGATGAAAGCAGAGAGGTGAGATGGGTGATGGTTCGGAGGGTTTGGTAAGTGGCGTTAGCTTGGATAATGGTTAGCAACATTACACGATCCTGGGCAAAGTGACAAAGCAAGACTAAAATAAAACCCCCTGCTCATATCACTCTAAATCTCTCATCCCTGTGCTTTTTCTCTCATCTTCTTATGGAAATGATGCATTGTAAGACTTTTGATACCATTACCTCACCGTTTAAGATTTGGAGGAAGATTTCCATTAAGCTCAAAAGGAGGACAACATTACCTGCATCTGAAGCTTGGAAAGGGTTAAGAGTAGTAAGGGAGTAGTTTGATCTATGGCACCATTAAGACTTGACCTAAATCTTGGATGCTACATGGGGATACAAGCTCACATACACTCTACCTGGTAAATAAATGGAAAGAGGGGGGTGAGAATGAGGTGGCTTGGAGGGACGATGGAGGGACGAAGAGGAAGAGGGGTGAAGTGTTATTGTGCCGCATGATGATGGAGTGAGTTAAGTGAGTGGGTGACTGGGTGAGGGGGGAAGTTAGTAAGTAAATAAATAAAATAAATAAATGAATGAATACAAATGGGCCAAAACACGGCACTCAAAACCAGAAGGCTCAAAAAAGGGGCCAACCACAGAAAAAAAAAGGAGGAGAAAAGATAAGGCTCAAGGCACAAAAGGAAGATTTCAACAAAAAGCTGCACGAAACACCAAAAGGGGAGGAAATATATATATATGTAAAATATATATGAAGAAGAGAATATACGTATATATATCAAGGGGTTATATATTTAACGTTGGGGATGTTGCCTACCTTCTCGGAAACCTGAACGAGAGATTTCTACAAAAACAAAAGAGGGATAAAGAAAGAAAGAGAAACAAACGTATGTATAAAAACGTATAGATTCATGACTTTCCTGTAAAAAACAAGCTGCCCTCTGAGTAGCAAACAAAAGTCCAACGTGAACTAGGCTCACTTGGGATTGAAGCAGCAAGCACAACCAACATTAAATAACCAAAAATAAACAACAAAAGCAGAGAATCAGTGTTACTGACGTTGACTTTCAATTTGAATGTGTTTAAATGTGGGAAGTATTGGTGTGAATGTGTGAACAGACATTATTTAATGCACACCAGAGCACCTCAGAGGGATTTTAATGAGCTCAGTGGGAAAAATTCCATTAAGAGACCCTGTTTGAACATAGTCAACCCGCCCCCCACCTCAACCTAACATGAAATGAAGTGCTCCTCCACATACAGAGCAGTCCTGGGTGATCCTGAAAAGAAGTGTTTGTGAGGGGAAAATTTCAAACGTGATAGAAAAAAAAATTAAAAACAGAGAGAAAACCACCTCATATACACACACAAAGACACATTTCAAATGAAAAAGCACAGGTTAAGCAACAACTTAATCTTTAACACACATTGAGAAACTTGATCTCCTTCACACACACACACACACACACTGATGTGTTTGAAGGACAGAGAAATATCACTCACCAGCCCAAGCAGGAAAGTGCAGAGGTGAGGTTATATGATACGTTAATAAAACACACAGCTTAAGCGTATATATGTGTATGTGTGTGTCTGTGTGTTTGAGTGTGTGGTCAAACTGTACAAATGCAACACAATCTCTATCTCTACCACCTCTACTTCCTACCAACACGCCAAGGTGTGTGTGTGTGTGTGTGTGTGTGTGTGTGTGTGTGTGTGTGTGTGTGTGTGCGCGCGCACATGCATGTGTGTCAAGGTGTCCCCACTAGCGGTATTTATAGTTGAGGGAAAAGTGATATCTCCGGTGTAACCATGGATACTGTCGCCACGGAGCTACAGTATCTCTGAGTGGGAGGCCTAGAGTGTGGCTGTGCCTGTACCTCCGCCTCTTACACACAACCACACGCGCACACACACACACGCACCCCCACATATGCAGGTTTATCATTCTCAATTTCTGTCTTTTTAAGGCTAACACAATCACCAAAAATACAACCGTACATTCATTCCCTCTTCCCTTCCTCCCTTCCTAGCACACATTTCAACACATGTGTTCAGTGCGGACCCTCAAGGTCTGGTTGGTGACACAGCAGCGATGACGAAAATCTCAACCTTACCTGCTCTCACAGCTTTTCATTCTTTCATTGCTCACTTGGACCTTCCTCTTTCAGTCTCTGCCACCTTTAAACCCTCACTTCCTGTCGCCTCCTCTCCTCCACATCTTCCATTCTGGCGGCAGCCTCTGATGTTTTTTTTCATGTCTCCTCTGTGTTCTTTACTTTTCCGTAATTCTGACTCAGCTGTGTACATAGCCTTCATTGCCCTTCATGCATGATTTCGATAAAAACACTGACAATTTGGTTTATGATATTTTAAGTATCTGCCTATGAATTTATTTCTCTCTTGCTTTGTTGCTTGACACAATTCATAATTTTGCTTAGTAAGAATCTGCCTACAACTGCTCTATCTGGAATACATTATGTTTTAGTGGTAGAGAAATGTAATTAAAACTTTAAAGTATATTTCTATTTTTCATATTGTCATCAAATTCCACAAAAAGACCAAAGCCAACATTAAATCCATCCTAACAAGTATTGTCTGTGCAGTGCCAGTCAAAGCCTGGTATAGCTTATCTCTCTGTGCCATAGAGCTCCATTGTTGTCAAAAAACTATGAACAAACAAATTAGGGAGCCACACTTGCAATGGGTAAATTATCCTTCATTATGATGAACAATGTAGTTTATTTTGGTTCAGTCTCGGTTACACTGTCCTGCTGCTGTGAATACTCACCAGTGCATTATCTACCACTGTTAAAATAATGTTACAGGGTCCAGCGGTTTAAGGAAATTATGTGGTCTTTTTTCTATAAAACAATAAATGAAATTAAACTATATATTATATATAGATTATAAAGATTCAGTAGAGACCAATGGGCTTGGGACTGAGAGCAACAGACATGGTGGGGAAGTCAACAAGTACTGAGAGATGAGAAGTAGAGTTTGGTCTTTTATAGAATGTAAGAAGAATACAGAATAAGTTAAATTAGTCTTTCCTTTATAATTAAAACCCACATTCAGAGTTTTCCAATAACATAACAAGCTATCATTGTAAATCTTATTGTGGAAAGAAATGGCATAATGTCTCAGGTATATCAAATTCAATTACAACTAATGCCAATATTTATCTGCCAAAAGCCGAAATCAGCGAGTAGAAATATCCGTTTAGTTGTCACAGGACTGTGTAGTTAAGGAGTTGGTAGATACTGTATTAGTCAGGCTTTTCCCTCCAATCCTTTCCTTCCACTCTTATAACCACAAAGTACTGTCTTCACCTCACTGTTTACACAGCCGAGTTGGATCAAAGCTGGGCTTCCACTTCCAGAGAAAATTAAAAAATATATAAATAAACAAGTTTAGTTTTCATTACAACCAGGTACCCATGAGAGCAGTTTTAGTCCTTGCAACCTGCACTAGAGCACTGAGATGAAAACTGGGCCAGACGTGGAACCAAAACCAAAATTACTCCTCAGTCACCACTGCTCCAAACAAAATTATAGAGAAGGCACAGCTGTTCCCTTTCCTCTCCCTTTCTACTCTCAGCAGACTTACAGATCAGCACAAGTCTAGTGATAGGGATGAGATTAGACCAGGCCCTTTAAAGAAATACTCTGAAAACCAGTGATGACATGGACGTACAGTATGTTGTTCCTGAGAGGAAATGAGCACATGAAATGACTTGTAACGTAAACCTAGTCATTTTCTGTTTCAGGCTGAAACCTCAATACTCTGAAAAAGCTTTAAACTGTACTTAAGTAGAACAGCTGCTACCACGACTGCTCTGCATTTCTAAACTACTTCTTCTACAAAGTTTCTTCTTCTTCTGCCACATATCCTCTCCTGTCCTGTCTCATTGCTTCCTTTCTTTGCTCTTGAACACCACAACCCTAAAGTATCAATCATAACTATTCACCCTTCCCATTTTCCCATGCTCCTGCCTCTCTTGTCACTCACCTGCGTACAAACTTGGATGTGAACTTGCTGAAAATCCCTGTGGCACCGTGTGTCCTCCGGGCCTGGCTGTTGCCATGTGACAGAGATGGGGACGCGGGCCCGCCGGGGTAGGCGGAGCCCTGCTGATCCCTGGCACCCCGCTGCTGGCCTGCGTGGAATGTGCTGCGGATGCCCACCCCCCGGGAGAAGTTGGGACGGTCTGACACGGCAGCGCTGCTGATGTTGTGGGCAGATGGGGAGGCACCGGGCGCCCGCTGAGGTGGGGCGCTGCAGAGGAAGGGTGGGAAGAAAGAAGAGAGACACAGAGGGAGGGATGGTAAAGAAAAGGTGATACACAGGAGGGGAGGGTGTAGACGAGCAGGGAGGCAGATGTGGAGAAAGAGAAAGAAGTGCGAAAAAATATTGAAGGATAAGAGGTTGGAAGGTGTGATGAGAAGAGGCAAGAAAGAGGAGGTGCAAAAGAAGAATTCAGGGTGACATAGATTGGACAAAAGGAAATAAAGAAAGTATGATAGAGGGAAGGAGACAAGAGGTAGATAAACAGTGAGGTGTAGGAGGTGATGCAGCAGAAGAAGAGTAGACAGAAAGGTATTAAAAAGAGGGGATGGGAGTGAAGAGGAGGGGTGTGGGAGAGGAACACAGTTAGACAAACACTAATAGAGGAAAATCACTTCCTTCTGATGCGCTACTTACCTCAGTCTAAGGTCATACAAGTATCTATGTCTGAAAAATGTCTGCTCGCCTAATGTTTCACATAATCCCTAAAGTCCGCCATGTCAGTTTTTAGGGGCACATCAGGTCAGCGACACGCACACATGCAGATACACACAGTAATCCTCCTTGCCTTGGTTGTAAGGCAAAGCATCACAATCCTCCAGCTCTCATTCACATAGACAAAGACACACAAACACTGAGCTAAAAGCTTGCACTTGCTTTGTAAGCATGTGCGCATACATCTTCCATGCCAGTATGCGGCAGTAGTATACCTGCAGCAGATGGCAAACACAACAAACAGAAATAGCAAAAGCACAAACACAAATCACACATACTGAAAGACGAGACGGGCAAATACTGAGTAGAAGAAATATAGAAAGCAGAGAAGTTAATACAAATGGACAATCCACTGTAGAGGGCTGCAATGGGACTGGGACACCACAAATGTTGCAGGTGCACCCAGGGATAAAATTTCATATATGAAAATAGGAGAGGCTGTAGTCTTTACTAGTCTATGTACATGCTTCGCCCACCATAAAACCAGTAACCAATAAAAGGTCAGAGTCAGTTTATTTTCTATCTCTCACAGGCCAAATTTGCTTTTACTTTTCACACGCACAAGTCACGCTCTCTCTTTTTAGACTAGACCCTTGCTCTCTTTTTTTTATTTTACAAATGCTGATCTGCAAAGGAACATGCCAATCTGCAGTCTAACATTACAGCATCTGGCTTGTTTCTGTTACTATGGGAAACAACATTACCCATCAAGAAAGAGGGGCACAATCTGTAAGCTTGTAGTTGCCCCTCCTTCAAGATAAAGCCTGTGTATTGTTAATATTGAATTATTATTATAAAAGGCTGATTTTCATCTTTTACAGATGAGTAGCTGGGTAACTGTATTTATCAGTTTTTAAGGACTGCATGTGTCGTCGAGGGATTGAAGAAACAGCCCCATGCAGACCCTCTAATGCACTCAACACTCCACAAAGAAAAATAAAGAGGGTTTAAAGCCAAGTTTACAGTCTACCTGTGTGATGAACAGCTTAAACACATCCTTTAATTTGATGAGGATGTGTTCAAGTTGTGCACCAGGGATGAAATATATACAAACACACAGCTGTTCTATTAATACAGATGCAAGGAAAGAAAGGCTGGATCAGGCAAATTAGTGGAAACCAGTGTTACACATTATAGTTATGAAGAGGATTGTTGATTGAGAAGGACTACATATGGCTACAGGTAAAATAGCTTTACTGTTTTCCATTTGTTTCAGCATATGAAAGCATTTCCATCGTCACATACAGAATTAAGTAAAAGAGCAGTGACAGCCTGTAAGTATCTAAAGAAGGCACGTGGCATGAGGTGGATGCAGGTGGGTGAGGACGATGATGACGCAGCTGAATGATTTCCATGCTAGGCATACTTGATTTGCGTATAGTAGACTGCACCTCTACTTTAAACAAATGTGTAGCTGCCTATGTGCAGCGTCACTTGCTTCACAGTAAATGAATACTCATGCAGTAAAACAGGTTGTTAAAAGTAATGTAAATTCATGAGAATGGTATTTTAAAGTTTTTCAGAGGGGTATTTGGGGATAGCTGGATAAAACAGGAATGGATGGGACTCTAGGGCACAGATTATGTTCTAAGAAAAGGTGCCTATTCCTCACTCAGGGTACAGTCTACGTGTTGGAGCGGTACCTTCTCTCCAGCGTTCCCAACCAGGTTCTGAACGGCCCAAGCTCACTGATGAACGACGCATGCAACAGAACGAGACTTCAACATAGAGCAGACAAAACCACATACAGCCAGAGGGCCACCTTGACATTTGCCCTGCTGGAATTTTAGCCTGACATTTGTGGGGGGCTTTTTTCACTAGACAACTGTCACAAAAAGGGTGGGGGTCTCTGTCTGTGCAAATGGCATATCAGTTCAGACTAAAACAGTATTTCAGTTAGCTGGGGAACATGTACAAAGACCTTCCACCGACACATGGCTGGCGGGGGGGGGAGAGAGACTAAAACTCAAAATATCAAAGTAGCCCTTGAACAGACACTGTGAAGCAGAAGAGCTGAACAACAAAGCAGCCCACAAAAACCGAGCACAGACAGCAAACACACACACAGTTCACACAGATGGCCAACAAGCTACAGTCAGGTCATTATTTCATTTTGTTCGTTCAGCGTCACAGAACAGTTAATGGTTGACAGATAAAGATGGGGTTTTCCCGGGCAACTTCATAACTGAGGTGGGTTTACATAGTAGATTCAGACTGTATGAGAGAGCACTTAACGTTTGAGAACAAAAAAACAGAGGCTGTGGGAACCTTAAAAGGGACTCCACTTCTTTACACAGGACTGTAAATTCACCTGTGCAAGCCAGGGAAAATCCTTTTGTCCACTAACACAACATGTCAGAAAACCAAATGGGGGACAATATTAGTGTATACAGAAACATGCATCAACACAACTATTGCATCTGCATTTTGTCTGGTTCTCCCCAGGGGACGTTTTTTAAAATATCTTTTTTAATGACACAAACTAAAGGAAAATGAAGCATGGAAAATGAAACAGGAGTTTTACCACTTACCTGCATAGCCTACCAGCACAGGTAGACTGTGCAGGTAAGTGAGGCTCAGAGAGGAAAGTTTATGTATCAATAGTTATTAAAGGGACAATTAACGCGCACAATCTGGTGATGAAAACCGTAGTTTTGGCGATTTAAGGCACTTTGTGTTGTGTTCAATGTTCATTGTCATTGTTCATATTAGATGCTGAATAATGTGGATCTCACTTTCCCTTCAATACAACTTTTTTGGCAAGACTGTGGTATTGTTGATAGTAATTTATTACTGTTGACTGTCCATCTACATCATCTACATAAATAAAGACCATCATTGCAAACATTTCACTGTAAGCTCTTACTTACATAAAGTAGTAACTGCCACTTTTCTTCAAATCAGCATGGTGATGTCCAACATCAGGACAGCAACCTTCGACAGACTTGCTAATACCATTTTGCAAGCTAGAAAGTTAGCTAAGCTAACTTTCCATAACCTTTGGCCCATTTCTTAAATCAAATAAAATGCCTAAAATGATAGTATGTAAGACTTTTATGCTGTCATGTCAACAGAAGGTTTCTTTAAGATGCCATCTTATTAAGCTTGATTGACTTTGTCTTAGAAGGCAGATGTACAGTACACCTCATTATCAAGCCAAGCTTAAAGTATATAAAAAGGGCTGGCCTCCTGTTTATTAGCTACCGAGGCCTCTGCGTGTGTGGAAACTTTATCCCTGCTGGTCCATAAATGTCTCTTCCCCCAATGTGTCTGGCTTATTTTGCTGCCAGGAAACAAAACAAGTTAAAAAAAAACCTGGTCTGTCAGTACAGTGAAAAACCTGCTCATCTTGTTCTCAAGCTCTGACTGTTCAGTTAAGGTCCACCGAGTAAATGTGAGGTCTGAGAGTGACTGATATGTCAATGTCTCCACACTGACTTTAGCTCAGATAGTACAGATTTCTGAGCACCACAATCTACTTCCTGGCTGTTGCTAAGTAACTGGTGAGTCTATGATTACTGGTGTAAGAAATGTTGGGCATCTCACTACGGTGATGTTATAGTGGTAAATATATATAGATGGAGGTAGATATACAGATATATATTCAGGACAGCACCTCTTGAAAGAAAGAAACTGATGAGGTAATGTCATGTAGTCTCTTTGTGGCTACATTAATGCTAACTTTACTTCCTGGTTCTGAGGGAAAACATTTGTATCACATTAAGGAATTTCTTTGGAGTTTTGCAGCAGATTTAAACTGCACACTTTTCTAAAACTGTACACATGCTACCCATCATCAAAACATTAACAAATACAAGTGTATAATTCTTTTAAAGGTCAGATTTCTTGACTTCTCTTTGGTTTAACAATTTGACTGCATTTCAATTTTCTTTATATTTATATTACGTAATGTAGGGGGAGATTTTAGCTGATTATACCAAACAGGTATAAAATATTTGAGAATAAATAAAGGCACCAACTGTTCAAGTTAAGGAAGCAACTTATCTTTGCTCATGGGAACATGTATGTGAGGTGATTGTTGGCAAACACAGCAGTCTGTGTTAACTAAAACACCCACTCTTTGGGGAGGAAAATCCACCTCTTTCATCAATTTCTTTTTTTTTTTTTGGGGGCATTGAAAGAGTTGTTTTAAAAAAAGGTGGTGCTGTCCCTTTGATCCAGCAGTGGTGGAGGATTTCAGGACCAACAAATCACTTTATCTTCATCTTTCGTTTTTGCCCACCAAGTTCTTGCGGGAAGGATGATCTGTGGTACATGCTGAGGGAGCTATGAGGGAGCTATGAGTGTGTGTGTGTGTGTGTGTGAGAGAGAGTTTGAGACTTGCCTGGGCCGTGGTGCGTGCAGGTCAGAGGGGCATGGATGATTGGAGGAGGACAGGGACTTGTGGTGGCGGGAACGCGAGGTGGAGGAGGAGGAGGAGAGGACGGCAGCGGCCGAGGCAGTGGAGGCGCGGGAGCCCGGAGTGTTTAGGCTGGGAGGAGGGGGGAGGAACAGGAGGAGTGCCCCGCCCAATGCACACACGCACACATATACACAAACATGCAGACACGCCCACAAACGCGACCGACAGAGGACGAACACACCAAAACGTCACACAAACAAACATACATACGAGCATGACACATACACACAGTCACACACACCGGGCGGGGTTTGTGTGTGGGTGGGCAGGGAGGTGAGGTGGAGCATGGTTAGAAGCAGCATTTATCAAACACAGTAAGAGGGATTGGGGGGGGGAGAGAAGAGCAGAGAGAACAGATACACAAGCGGAAGAACAGAGGAAGTAGAGACAAAAAGACAGAACACAGAGCAAAAGACTTGAACAAAGAAAAAAAAGTTGGTCCTTTTCGCTGCTGCATTTGCTTCATTGTGGTGTAACAAGAAGAAATCACAAACCACAATCAAAGGCTGACTGTGTTTGTGTGCCTTCATCTTTCCATGTAAAATCTACCCGACAAAAGCCAGAGCACAAAAGACCAACTTTAAACACACATTTTTCTTTTGGCTAGGAAGACTGAAAACACACTCAAGACAAATTATGAGGAAAGAGTCAAGTTACCAATATTGCACAAATGTGCAAAGCAACAAAACTCAGCAAACCACCACATAGTAACTGAAGCGACCCCAACATTTCACTGGTCAGCTCATTTGCCTCCCCAGCAGGTCTACATATTGGAAAAAGGCATCATCAACACAGCTTGGGGAACAAATAAAACGAGGCCAGATAACAAATCCCCTCTCAGTATGTAAATCTCTCTTATTATTTTAATTCACTGTTTTGTAAGAAGTGTGCTATACAAATAAAATTAGACTGCATGTATAATATAAATTATTATCATTAACATTCTTTTTAAACTTTTTAAAATCTGTATTGTATCTAAAACACTATTTCATGATTCTTCATGGCTCATGCCGTCATAAAACTGCCACAGTAACCAATTTTATTATTTATTATTATTTAAATGGGATCTAAGAGGCTAGACATGACAGCTAAAACAATTAGTTGATTAATTGGAGGACAAACAATTAATCATCATCAATTTTGATGCATAAATACCAAAAATCTGCCAAGCTTCTCAAATGTGAATATCTGCTTATTTTCTATGTCTACCTTGATACGAGTAGACCTTTGAGATTTGGACTGTTGGACAAAGTAAGCATTTTGATGTTACCTTGGGCTTTCCAAAAATCAGACAGGCATTTTTCAGTATTTTCAGATCTTTGTCAAATTAATCAAGAAATAATCCTTAGTTGCAACCCTACAAAACAAATAAAGCCAATTAGCGTATTCTCTTTTCCAAGAAATAACGGACAGGAAAGATAGGTTTCTGTCATTTAGACACTGGCAGGAAATCAAGCTGTTGTCTTGTTATGGAATAATCACTCTGACCTCTGAGCTTGCAGTTTTTTAGATTTGACCTGCCTGTCACGTTCCTTCCTTTCCTTTACTACTGTAAACAATCTAGTGTAGATTGTGTATCTGTAACAAAGAACATTTTATTGAATTACTTAAGCAAAACAACACTGGTTATTTCCTGAACCCTCTCCTAATCAGCAAGGTTGCTACGGGCTACAAAGCTCTGCGCATTACTGACAGCTCTAACTTGACTTTATCCACACACAGAAACAAACACAGTAAGAGACAGGGCAGAGTGGTACCACTGAGAGAGACAGAGATGGCTGAAGAGAGAGCAGAGGAATGGGAGAGAGAGAGAGAGAGAGAGAGAGAGAGAGAGAGAGAAAGAGAGAGATAAAAAGACATAAAGACATAAAGAGAGAGATAGAGATGGACATTTATAGAAGTCGACCAACAGCTGCTAATTACACAGAAAACAAACACACTCTTTCTGTCAGGAATTAGTCCGGCTTGTGATGGAAGAATAACAGCATTCGCTGGACAACCCAGTGTGTGGCAAGATGTGTGACATGTATGTTTAAGCTTGTGTGTGTGCAGATTTTTTTGTGTATGTAAGCCTATTAAGAGGCAAGTACAGGCACCATATAGTGCCACTAAGAGTTAATATTCCATCACAAGTCTTCCTAATCTCCTTAGAGAGAGAGGGGAGAAAAATAAAGAGAAGAAAGATTAATATAAAGACGAGAAGGAAAAACTGGAAGCTGGATAAAGGAAAAGAAAGGAGGTGCCAAGGAAATGTGAGTGACTTAAGATCCAGAGGGACAAGAGCTCAGACGCAGATAAAAGCACACCAAGTGAAGAAAATTAGAAAAGGACAGAAAGGGAAAAGGGAGAATTGGGGATGGGGGGAGGGGTGTAACAAGTATAAAAGCCCAAACTTCAAAGCATTAATGATGATCAAATAAAGTAACTTTAAAATCAAAGCAGATGACAACCACTAAGTTAGCAGAGCCTACCATGGCTAATAGACCCACAGTGCTAAAAAAAAACAAAAAAAACAATGCTGTCTCAAATGACCACGTCGTCGCCAAGTAAGAACAAAATGACAGAAATTTCTCAAGATTTATCAGACTTTACAGCCTGAACATGGATTCAATTCAATAATTTTTATCATGTTGTATGTAGGGCACCATGTAGGGCACCATGTAGGAAACGAAAGGGGCCATTTGAGACTGATGTACAAGTAATAAAGCAGTAATGACAATGAACACAGCATCATAGTAGGGATTATGGCTTGGCTTAATGTTTAATGCTTATGAAAAAGCACACAAAGCGTATGGCTGGTTAAGCATGAGTGATGTGCGCGCAGTTGTATGTGTGGACGCGTATGAGGTGCATACAGCACCAGAGGGCTTAAGCTCCCGGGGCGACAAATCCAAAAATCAAGCAACTCCTATATGGACAAAAAGTAGCTTTGTCCATATAGAAGTTGTTTACAGGACGAAAGGGGAGCTGGAAGGATGAATTACATTTTGGCATGATGAAATGAAAAAGGGGAAAGGGGAGGGGAATGTCACACTTCGTAATGTCCCACTGGTTAGTCATTTAATGTCATTTATCCTACTTTTAACCAAAATACCCAGAAATATTGATTTTTGCTTTTTATTATCATCTCTACCCGCCTATCCCTGGTCTGATGTCTGATTCAGCTACATGTTTGGTGAAGTCAAAATTAATTGGATCAAGGGAAAAGAACAGAAAGAAGGATAAGAGTTTACAAAATAAGGTCTCTGTGTGTCAGTATATGTCAACCTGCATATGTGAATGCTAGTGTGTGTCCATCGAACCCTGCCTCTGCTCTGAGTGGCAGTCCGCAAATCAGACCATCACAGGTAATCTGTAATCTACTGGAGGTTTGGCCTAAATTCCCAAGGGAGCCTAATTTCCTTGTCCAGGAGGGCTTACCCCGCCCTGGGGGAAAGCTGTGGGCCTCCCTGAGCCAGCTGGCAGAGCTCTGGAGAGTACCAGCCAAGGTCTGGGATCCAGTCACTGAGACAGCTGTGGGACTGCTTCATTCACAAACCATGGTGAGTGTGTTTGTATTATGTGTGCGTTAGTGAGGAAGCAACACTACCTCACAGCAGTTTCTTGAGTTGCCAGTGACGAGAGTGTGTGCGAGAGAACGACTGTATGTTGTTGTTTTTTTTTTTTTTTTTTTAAATCTCACTTTTAAATTGTGTGTATGTACCTGTCCTTGCCGTTCTGGACGCCCTGGCCCAGCGTGGCTCTCTCAGTCAGAGGAGAGTTCCGACTGCGACCGGTACCGGTGGACAGGATGCTATTCTGAAGGGAGAGAATAAGAAGAATGTTAGAAATGACAAATAACTGCTGAACAGCCTTGAGCAAGCTTCCTAATCAGTAACGGTGAGTGACTTCAATTGCCTAAAATGTATTAATTCTTTAGTATATCATGTCTTCAGAGTATTTGCTGAGTATTTTTATTTTTTGCTATACAATTCAAAAACTGTTTCAGTTTCACCTCAGTGTTCTTGAACTGTCATTTAAAGGCCCTGCACTCCCACACAGGTGCTTTCCGTTACCCTGACACATTAACTATCCGCTTAAGCTGAGGTTGGGTGGGGCTATACTATAGACTGGGAATTACTCCATGCCACATGCTAATAAAAATGATAAAAGTCACCCACGTAGCTTTGAGATGAAGCCATATCAGGTGACTTAAATAAAAACAGCAATCTATGTGAACACGCTTCAGTGTCAGGGACCTGGTATTGTGCATGCTGGCTCATTCTCACACTGTCATTGCTTACTGGGACACTTAAACAGACTGGAGTCATCGTTTATGTTGCTAGTAACACATGTCCTTTTCTGACTATGACAATTCAAAGTGGTGTTGCAAATGACATGTAAGCAGTTTGAGTGTTTGGTCTCACGGTGGAGGGCGTGGCGCTCTTCTTGCGGTCAGAGGAGACCAGAGGGCTGGCCGGCACCTTGGTAGTGGAGCTGCCTGATGAACCTTTCCTCCCAGAATCCTCCGTTGCAGTCCGGTTGTCTGCTTGACCTCCCCTCTTAGAGTAGGAGGAGCCTAGAGAAAGAAAATCAAAGGGAGTGCATCAGAAAAGCCACCACTTGATCCCATCCCTGAGCTACTGACAGTTGACCACCTCAATCTGATCCCTGATATGCCTTCCACCAGCTTCCCCTCCAACACACACCAATCTCACCCTGGTCGGTGGCTCTGCGGTTCTGAGGCTTCTGGTTGGATGACACACTGCGCTGTACCTTAAAGAAGTAAGAAGGACAAACACGTCAGCATGGTATTCGTTATGTTAAAGGACACGGACACAGACACACACACACACACACACACACACACACACACACACACACACACACACACACACACACACACACACACACACACACACACACACACACACACACACACACACACACACACACACACACACACACACGTAAGTATGCTAGCAGAATAGCTGGATTTACAGCTGCTGTTAGTCTATAGAGCCATTCACACATGAAACCTACAACACTGGTGAATTAAAGCATCCGGGAAAAGCATTGGTTGCTGTAGTTCACATGTGTGTAGGTCCACAATCTAAAACATGAAAATTACCTACAACACCATAGTTGTTTCCCAGAGTGTTATTGGTGAAATATATGTGGTCAAGTCAGCATACTTGTGTCACTGGCTGGAGTTGGAAGACCTCATTATGTGTTAGCAGAGGACATTATGTGTTCTCATTATACCTTGTGAGGCGGGGAGGGGGCGTTTATGTTGCTTACATCACTTCCTGGCCGGGGCTTGATGCAACCTTCGTCCAGCTGAGGAGTGGAAAAAACAACACAAATATGAATATCTGTGGAGGAGATGCAGAGAGACAGTGGTGTGGCTACAACAAACACAAAGGACTAAAAATAGAGCTTTTTTACATGGTATTGTTATGAGAATACTGAAGTGTTTTGAGCATAAATATATGCGAGATGACAGCAAATTGTATGTTCTGATGGCTTGAAGGCAAACTAAAAGTGAAGCCCTACATTTTCTTGTATATAATGATGAACTCACTTAAGCTTGTTAGTTTGACAGTTTTCTGTACAACATCAGTGTAACTACAGCTAAAGGAGCTCTGACAAACCAAGGACTGGCATGGTAAAATGAAAAGCGTGTAGGTGTGAGAAAGAAACAGTATACCTCAGAGTTCCTATAGTCCAGTAGCAGATATGCAGCCATCACATCATTGTACTTCTGGTTCACCAGCGAGTCCTGGATCTCCTCCTGAGAGAATCCCATCTGCAGCATGATGTCTGCACACACAAAACCAGTTTATAATTAGAATGGAGAGCTTCCTGCAGGTCCATAATTCTCCTTAAGATAAATTATCCTTGTACGTGTGAGTGGAGGAAAAGAACATCTGTGCTCAAATGTGTCTTTGCATGGCTAAAGAAAGGAATATATTTATCATTTTTTGAGTGTGTTTCTGTGCCTACCTGTCCTCCTGGGGTCCTTATAATCTGGCTGTGGTTCGATGTAGGGTTTGAGTTCTTCCTCCTCGTAGCCCACATTCATCCACCGGTCCCTCATTATCTGCTGCTGGGAGCAAGCCAAACAGACAGATAAAGGGAGACATGAGATGTCAAAGGCGATAAAGAGGCAAAAAGCAGAGGAGGAAGGAAAGGTTAAGGAATGAGAAAGGAGGGGAGAGGAGAGGGTAAAGAGATAAAGAGACACAACAAGTTGGCAACACAATGGAAAAGGATGCAGAATTCAGCTGAACATGACAAATGAATTATACACTATTCATCTGTTTGATCAACTAATCTTGACAATTAATTAGTTTTTTCTAATAAGCGTAGCCAGAGCTAACTAGGAAATGAGGGGTTTGACCTTTAACAAACAGGCTATAAAGATTCAAAGGTTGGGAGTGATCAAAGGAGCAAAACTGACTCATATCAATCTTTTGGCTGCTTAGAAATGAAGACGCATTCTACACAAACTTTAAGGTAGGTGTAAATGAAACAGTCACAGGACTGAATTCTCACACTAAAGCTTGAGTCTTCTTTCTGTATTTTTACAGGGCTGCCATAACATTCAGCAGGTCAAGGCAAAAATCTAAATTAAAAGTATGTGTTTAACCTAAAACGTTACTGGGAATCTGGTTAACTCAAAGGGCAAGTGACACCTGCTACTCAGCAAAAGAGTTATATACCTTTTATTCTTCTTGCAATCATGAGCAGTAACTTCCAGGTGCTGTTCATTTGCCTTTAGTGCAACCAAATATGGTAACTCATAAATCCCAATATAACAAGCATTTACTATGCCTTTAAAAAGCACTTTACACATTAGCAACAAACTCACATGTAGCTGGTGAAGCGAGTCTAGGTATACAGTCTAGTACTGTGTGTGCTACATACACCATAAGATTTGCAAATTAACAATCACTGCTCAAGCTATTAGGAGATGGACAATTTTGGTTGTTTTCAGTCAGTTTTATCAAGTTAAATAAAAGGAATTTTAAATCTGGTTCAGTTTGAAAATTGCACTTTTGTGTGTCTGTGTGTCTGTGTGTGAATGCAGTGTACCTCGAGGCTGCCTCTTTTGGAGGGGTTCAGGATGAGAAACTTTTTGAGCAAGTTCTCACAGTCCGTAGACATGTAGAAAGGAATCCTGTATTTACCACGCAGCACGCGCTCCCTCAGTTCCTGCAGAAGGACCAGGGCATGGAGAGTCAACAACAGATTCTGAAAATCCACCTTCAAAACATGCACACAATCCTTTTCTCTCACGTCTGAATGTCAAAGGGCAGCGTCCTTCCAGGATTGTGTAAACGGCACCCCAGACTATCCAAAGCGATTTAATGAAAATGAGGGTCTATGAAACAGTTTTTGAACAATAAAGGACTTGACTCAGAATGTGTGTGATATGGCTTGAATTGGCTACGTATATGGGTGATATATTACTAAAACGTATTATCCATAGTGTTTCCTCTAGGATTTTTTTTAGCAGTGGGGGCAATCAACATAGAGGAAACACTGCATACATATATACATGTATTTTGATAATGCTGATATTAGATTTTGTTCAACTGTTATACAATCAATAAACATGAATAATTCAATATTTATAACCTACTTCAGTGGCCTTCATCAACACATTACATTTGAATGGTCTACGACAAAACTCATTAACCTATTCAATGGTACTTCCCCCAGTAGAAGGGTCCTAATAATTATCATTTACTGAGGCTCTGAAGGGTAAATGCATGTAGTGACTGGTTTTAACACAGCTGTGATGTATATGTAACAAGCTGTTAAGGAGCTTACATCGTGAAGCATTGAATTTGCATACAAATCTATCAAATTGAGTGTTAGGGTTTTAAAATTGTAAATGTATCTTTTGAAGTGCTGAAATGTTCACATAAAACTATCTTAGTCATAAATGTTGCGCTCTTTTTGTCAGTGCATCAGTTAGACACATTTAAAAGAACAAACACATTTTATTACAGCGAGTGAAATCAGAAAGCAGTGAGGCTCCTATCTGTTAAATAAATAGTAAGACCAGTAATGTAGGTGTTAAACTAAACTCCACACAACAGGAGGTAGCGCAAAGGCATACTAGAAAAAGCTGGATGGCAGTTCGCAGGCATGTTAATATCAATATCATCACATTCAATGTCATATCGCCCACCCAAAATGTGTCTGCACTTCCAGAGTGAGTCATGTGGGTACTGACTGAATTCACGGTGTGATAGGTGGTATGAATAATTGTGAATAACTATAGTTCACAGAAAGCATTAAATCCTAAAGGTTTTAGTTCCTGTTTGGTGCAGCACAACACCGAACCCCATTTACTAAGTACTTGGGGGTTGGCATTTAATCACTTTTACACATTCTCTCTCTCTCTCTCTCTCTCTCTCTCTCTCAGGTTTGGTTTTTGCATTCTGTACGGCAGAGGGAACCCAAACCAGCATGACAAATACTACAACCACCCACAGAATACAGACCTCGGCTTATATAAGGCACACAAACACACACTCTCTTCATCCTGACCTTGAGGTTCTGTCCATCGAAGGGCAGCGAGCCGCTGACCAGCGTGTAGAGGATCACCCCCAGGCTCCAGACGTCCACCTCGGGCCCGTCGTACTTCTTGCCCTGGAAGAGCTCTGGGGCAGCGTAGGGTGGAGAGCCGCAGAACGTGTCAAGCTTGTTCCCCAGAGTGAACTCATTACTAAAGCCAAAATCTGCTATCTTGATGTTCATGTCTGCGTCCAGCAGCAGGTTCTCTGCCTGCAGACATACAAGCGTGTGGGGGAGAGAGAGGAAAGGAAAACATAATTATGATGTAGACAGCAGAAGGATGTGGAGGCAAACAAGAAGAAAAGGATGGAGAAATAAAAAGATTATTAATCCTGGGATTTTTTTTCTGAATACTACTTGGGCTGAAAACATGAAACACAAATACTTTGCATACATTTGCTTAATGTGAAATGGTAATGTGATATTTTATTTTACTTTTTCTAGAGGAAGGTAAGAGCTACATAAAGTATAAAGCTAGCTTGTACAGCCAAAAAATAGAGTTTAACAATTGGCCACCCTGTCATCCAGTGCCAGCGTAACAAAGATTTTCTCTGACATGCAAGTGAGTTTGAAAATAATATATTTCACAGACAGTTGTCTAAAACACCTTTCTCTGGGAAAAAACCTCTGCTGGGTGAGAGAGGGAGTTTTCAGGGTAATGGCGTGGAGCCTACAAGTAGCATACAATGGGCAAAGTGACACAGTTTATTCCTCTGTGTGTGTGTGTGTGTGTGTGTGTGTGTGTGTGTGTGTGTGTGTGTGTGTGTGTGTGTGTGTGTGTGTGTGTGTGTGTGTGTGTGGTATCCCTAAGTCTAAAGTGAGCCAGTGAGCAAGGAGGCTGGGGTTGCCTAGCAACAGGTGCGCTCTCCTTTTCACTTGCTCTGAATACTCTGCCACTTCTGTGTGTTTGAGTGTGTGAGAGGGTGTGCGTGCACATTAAATACAACACTGACATCATCTCTAGGCTCTGACCTAAGAAATAAATGAACAACGGCTTGTCATTTCTTTTGCCAACAGAATTAAAAATATATAGCAAATGAACACTAAGATTACCAAACAACAAAATATAACTCTTTGATGTTGCCTTAAAAAAAAGTAGAGTAGATACAGCCATATAAACCATATGTAGACTACTGGATTTTTCATCTTAGGATACAAACAGTGATTGATTTTAGTCTCACTGTCCAACACACTCATCAAAATTTGCTATTGCTGTATTACAACCCATAGATCGAGAGTGATTAGGATAATGTGCAGGATGGTACGCATTACAGTAATGAAAACTGTCTGTCCTCAAGAAAACTCTTATTACCCATGCTGCTTTCTTTGTAAATGCCAACCATCGTTACCTGCTAAAACGAGAGAAAATGTTTATGACCTTGATCAAAGTGCTGAAAATGTTTATTAAAAAGCCAAAAATAACCATGAGTGGAAAAAAGTACTTTGAGATTAGAGGTTCCTGTATGGTTACTGTAAAAGTAATCATGATAATGTCTTGTCCACAGGTCTGTCTGCTGGCACACTAAGAGGATTTACAACTCTGCATAATACTATGAACCAAAATGACCTGGGAGCTTTAGACCTGTCTGTCTGCGTGTTGTTTCATTTTTGGCACCAACTAAAGTCAATCAAAAACAGAAGGAATACATAAATGAAGAGACAGAAAGAGAGAGGGACCCAGTAGGGAACACGATAGGAGAACTGCATAGGAAGTGTGTGTGTACACATCTGTGTGTATGTGTGCCCTAGCACTCAAAGAGGGACATTATATAATCTTTGTGATTAACATCTGGGTCGCTTATTCATGGGGACGGGATTTCATCTCAAAAAGTCAAATCCTGACTTCAAGATTAATGTAGAGAGAGAGAGAGAGAGAGAGAGAGAGAGAGAGAGAGAGAGAGAGAGAGAGAGAGAGAGAGAGAGAGAGAGAGAGAGAGAGAGAGAGAGAGAGAGAGAGAGAGAGAGAGAGAGAGCGCTTGTGCCACTCAATGCAATGTAATTCAATAATGTTTGTGTGTGTTCTCACCTTGAGGTCTCTGTGTACTATACACTTCTGATGGCAATACTGCACCGCTGACACAATCTGGAGAGTGACAAAGTGAGAGAGAGAAAGAAAGAGCGGGAGGGAGAGAGAGGGATGAAGCGAGAGAAGAAATGGTTAGACAATGAAGTTAAAGACAGAGAGCTCTTAATTAGGGTTTCATCAGGAAGCAATCATCAAGTACTAGGGATCAATCAATTAAGACACTAAAATACAAAATGGGTCTTTTTGCTTTATACAGTTTATTTTCAAATTTCAGCCACAAAAAAATAGCCATTTATTGATCAATTAAATAACTACATTTTATTCCCAGATTGAATCAATATAAGCCTGTCGCTCAAACACACACCTGTCTGAATTTGGCACGGGCTTCTTTCTCCTTCATCCTGCCATGGGCCACCAAGTAATCAAAGACTTCTCCTGGGAGACAAGAGAAAGAAGAGGAGAACAGATTTAGCATTGGAACCTGATAGTTGTCGCCTTAAAACCAGAGTATTGGGTCAATGGGACATTGAACTAAGTATTGTCATTTAAAAATAACATATGGGCACAGACAGTTTAAGCTGTAATAATTTTTACTTAAATAAAAACAGAAATATTTGTAAATTTAAAATGTCATTTTTAATGCCAAAAGGGTAGAGATGAAACAAACTAAAATGAAATAAAAACAGGATGTTTCTGTACACTAACAGGTGAGGTAGCATTTTTACTTGGGAACCATTTGATTCTAAGATACAGAGTGCTGAGCCTCGGGGGGAATGAGTGACACGCACTTACCTCCACTAGCGTACTCCATTACCAGGTACAAAGTCTTCTCTGTCTCTATCACCTCAAAGAGCTTGACTGGAGGTGGACAGGGAAAGGCACAGACAGTGGATTGGAGGGGGGGTGAGGGGGAGTTAAGTTAAGGGAGATGGGGCAAAAAAAGAGGGAGACAGAAAAAAGGGAGCACCAGTGGAAATAAGAGTTTGGAAAGAAAAGGCAGCAAGAGTGAAAGCAAAAATAAAGAGATAAGAGAGAAAAGTTTAGTATGATTTGGATTGAACACCTAACCTTGACACACCAATTAAATCTGGTCCTCTGTGAGAAACTCATGTTTCAGTGTGACTCACCTATGTTGGGGTGATTCAACATCTTCATGATCCTCACCTCCCGGAAGAGCTGCAAGAAACAGGCCACAAATACGCTCATCAAAATTTAGGTCGATGTCAGTGTGAATGTGTGTTTGTTGTTGTTGTGAGTTTAATTTATATTCTACAGGTCTACTCATTTATATCAACTGATTTTGCATGTATGTGCCCTTCAGAATTACAGTTTCTTTGTCATTGTGTCAGTGGGTAACAGGACACTGAAAACATGAACGTTCACTTCCTGTTAATGAGCATGTGGGTCAAATTATGAGAAGGAAAACAAAAACACACATGGTTAGTTATGACACACAGGCAGAGGTTCAAGAAATACAGTTAATATCCAAGACCTGGCACAATTTTGGATTTTAGAATAAAAACAAACAAACAAAGCAGAGTAAATACTAACATAAGTTAAAATACTGTACAAAGTACTATTTCAACCAAGTCTAGCTTGACGCCATCCAGACTCTTTCAAAGATAAATGGATCCAGAAAACTCAGTGTAGACAGACAGAAGTTAACCTGTTACTATTAAAGTTACAAACACACAAAACTGCAACAGTTCAGTCAGTAATATTTACTCTGTTACAAGCATTTTCCCCGTTTGATAGATATCTGCTGCTCTTGAAAATAAAGCAAACCACTTTTTCAAACATAACTTGAACATCATGTTATATTTAAGACCAACATAGTATATTAAATCAGAACCTTAAAACTGGACTTATTATTTTAACTCTTATCTTGACACTTGAACTTGCTTTATATTGTTTCAGTCCCACATACATCGTCCTGCTGCTTTAAATACTCAGAAGAGCACTAAATGTGTATCAATCTGTGGCTGAAAATAGTCCCCATCAGATACAATGTTTTCACATATTTTAGTAACATTTAGCAACATTTTTAAAGACTTAGATCTTTAGTAGAATTGAATGGAGTTGGGGCTGAGTAGCAACAACGCGGTATGAAAATAAGAAAGTATTTAGACGGACAAACGCATTGTTGGCTTTGGTCTTTGCATTGAATTAGTGGACAATAAGAAAAATATAATCTTTTAAGACCTGATAAGAGTGTAATATCAGGAGTTCTGTCAATTCTGGTCCAAATGTGAATGGATTTGCATTTGCATGCGTCTTTACATTCGACGTAAGGGTGTTATTATATATTAAGTATCAGCATTTATCAATGGATTTATGTATTGGCCCGTTAGTGTCTTTGTTATGTCTTAACGTTTTCTTCATGTGCTCTGTGTGTCTGCGTTTGCACATGAGTATATCTTGTGCCTTATGAGTGTTTGGTGTGTGTGTGTTGAGTGTGCAACCATACATGGTTAGAGAGTGTGCGTGTAAGTGGACAGACCCCACCCTGCCACGATCAAAAGAAGTAATTGCAGCTTGTTTCCTGTAATTAAAACGCTCTCTGAAAACTAGACCACTTCAGAAAGACAGGGAGAGAGGAAGGGAAAGAGAGATGGATAGAGAGAGTGCAAAGGAGCAAAAGAGAAAGACACATGGGGAAGGAAGACTTAAAAATGACTTCTGAGAAAGGGACTGAAGTTTGAATTTTGAGCCTGTATGTATGTATATATGTATATATGTGTGTGTGTGTGTGTGTGTGTGTGTGTGTGTGTGTGTGTGTGTGTGTGTGTGTGTGAGAGAGAGAGAGAGAGAGAGAGAGAGATAGAAAGACCCACCTTCTGCAAACTGGAGGAGTTGAGCTGTGTCTTATCAATGATCTTTACAGCCACCTAAAAGCAAAACAAGAAGGTGTTATTGTATTATTACACTTTTATTCATTAATAACACTTGCTGCAGTAGGTTTGACGCATCTCGCTCACACAAACCTGCACAGCTACAGCCTGTGACCACAGCACAAACACACATACTGCTATCTTTTTGGAGACATCACAGACACACAGACACACAGACACACAGACACACAGACACACACACACACACACACACACACACACACACACACACACACAGACACACACACACACACAAACAGAACGATACAATCTCACAGTATTAAGTGATAAACACACAATCACAGCAGGCGACAGTTGCATAATAGGCCAAGTATACAGACAGGGGGACACACAAACACACAGAACTGAAGCATGGTTATACCCATGCCATAATGAGGTCTATAGTTCATAATCCAACAGTGGGCACCGACGAGGGAGAGATAAAACACAGAAAGGGAAAGAGAGAGAGAAATGAGGAGAGAAAAATAAAAATAGAGAAACAGACAGATGGGAGAGATTCAAAGTGAGAGATGTAGAAAAAAAAGAGGACGAAAGAAGAGAAAAGAGGACACAAAGAAAGGTGACAGAAACAAAGATTTATCTCTTAACAAGGACACAGAAAAGGGAGGTCTACTTCTTTCTCCCATTTCTGTATTTCACTGTCAACTAAATCCTTTTTTCCACTCCTCTTTCTGGTTGTGCTGTCTGACTCTTTCATGCCCTCTGACTCTCCCTTGTTTTCTTTGTGTGTGTGTGTGTGTGTGTGTGTGTGTGTGTGTGTGTGTGTGTGTGTGTGTGTGTGTGTGTGTGTGTGTGTGTGCGCCAGCGAGTCACATGGAGTGTTATCAGGGTGTCAGGCACAGAGCTGTCACACATTGACAGAGCCCGCCCACCCCTCTCTAGCTCTCTCTAACACAGACCGAGAGTTGACTTGACTGGGCCTCAGACACTGCAGACGAAGCTTTTCCCTTAAAGGGACAGGCCACCACGTTACATCACATCTGGAATTCACAGTAAGCCGGAGACATTTAGGCTTCTCTATTCAAGCTGACAATGGTGATCTAATCTCCTGCAGCAGATGTACCGACTCCAAAGCCATGCGAGACCAGGATCAGACCAGACCCACTGTGTATCACAGCGTGAACCCTCCCCTATCCTCAGCAACCAGGAAGGAAGATTAACATTTAGACAACAGCTAGACATTTGTACTGTTTTGCTACTTTTAACTTGCCTAATTATAAACACATGAAGCCTATTTTCTACTCTACTGGTGATAAAATAGTCACCAGCTAAAATAAATTTGGAGTCAATTTGTCACCTATACCAGCGTACAAAAGGGGTCAGGTTTCCTCACCTGCTAACAATTTCTCATGACAGTCTCACTCTGTTTTAAGAACAGTCAAAGTAGATTGGTGTTAGATTTACTTTTCTAGGTTTCTATTTCTTGCTCATTGCTGGTGTTTGTTATTGAAACACTGACAAGCCAGTTTCTGGTTAAATAAAGAGTCAATAGTAAAGCATTTCTCCAGAATGTGACTAAAGTGGCTAACAATAAAAGTTTTAAGTTCAGAAAGTCAGGGTGAAAGTCAGTCACTCTGGAAGTGGAACCAAAGGAAAGATTAAAGCTTTCAGTCCAATCTAGCGTGTGTGCACATGCATACCTCTTTTCCGGTGAGGACGTGTCGTGCCAGTTTGACCTTGGCGAAGTTGCCTTTGCCGATGGTTTTTAGCAACCGATAGTTACCAATGTGCGGCTGGTCATCTGATGTGGTCGTGGCGACGGAGTTCCGACATCGCGGCATGCTGGAGCGGCCAGATGACTTTGACTCCTGAGAAGAGAAAAGGCAATATGTAAGCATAAGAGACAGCAAAAATGTGCCAGAAAGGAAAGGTTTTACATTCCAGCTGTACTGAACACTTTGTATCTATGGGACATATAATCACAGGATATTCAAAGCTTATAAAGACAGATAAGGTCTCAACAAAGAGTTTTATTTCCATTTTCGGTTTCACTTACTGGCCCATTTCTACATTTCAGGGGGAGAGAGACATGTATCTCATAGAATAGTTGAGTTTCATTCATCCAGATAAGTGATACAAGTAAAATAAATTGAGGTTTGGTAACGCTGTACACACCTCATCAACATGATTGCTTTTTAGAGAGACAATGCTTTAAAAAAAATTAAGTACAGACACAATCTCTTCAAATTCTGGTTTTAACATGAAACGCTCAAATCAATGAATCCTAAAAGCATTCAAGTCAGTCCTAACCATCACCTATCCAATACATTAGTGGAAAGGTACTTCCTTACAAACAACACTTTCTGACAAATGTATGTACATTTAAAATGCATATAACCCCGATATAAAACTGACTAACTCACTGTTGACACAGTTAAAATAAAGTCAATAAAAAATTATTAAATGTAGGTTTATAAAACACATTTTCTAGTATGCTGTATGCAGGTAGGCTAGTCCAAATTATACTGGCCCAAATGCCTTTAGATTTGACTATGGATTAGAAACAGTCAGCAAAGAATTGTCTATAGAGCTAATGCTGCACTTCCACACAGCCAGTAGGGAGTTACAAAATCTGCATTATAATCTGGTAGCAAGATTAAGATAGAAACTTAGACAGCCAATATTGATCAAGAGCTCCCTGGCTTCTGGAGAGACAGCTAAATAAAACACAAACAAGTTGGACTTTTGTTAAAGAATAGAAAGGTGAAGAATATTTTATCATTCAAACTTTATCAAAAAAAGAACTTGACAAAACTGAAGGTTTTTTAAATAAATCTAAAGCTGTTATATGAAGCAGCACTCTAAGCTCATTTGACAGCCATGAACACAATTTGGGGGAAAACAAACCGGTCCACTGCTCTATACACAAAAAGCTGTGAAAAACTCGAGAGCAAAAGCACTGATTACAAATAAGTGATGTAGAATTTTAGCAAAGCTGCATGAAGAACTGCAATTTTCTTCCATGTTCTGTCTTATTAAACTCGTTAAACCTCTGACTGCCACTTATGCATTTCCTTTTACCATTCAAATTGATACTTTTCCTTGTAGTATTTGACGTAACATAATATCGCTTAATATTTGGATATGAGCACATGGCAGTAAGAGCCACTGCCAAACATTGAAACTATGCACACAGTGTGATAACACTGGTCCTCTTTTGTATGGTCAAAGTAAAGGCCCTGGGACAGTGTGTCTTGATTTTCCTATTGTCACCGTTTTACTATGGTTAATGTTTCACACTGTAGCCAGTCACGGCCCACACACAATATTCATCCTTCGGTAAGATACTTATATTCATCTTCAGAAGAATATGAAACAATAGTTTACCCCTGCTTCCTTGACTTTATCTGTGTGACTTTAATTTGAACCCACAAGGCCAGTAGTGTATAAAGTTATTTTAATAGTCTCTTTGTATGGTAGCATGGAGTAAAATTGCTTCAGTTCATCTTAGCAGCAGACAGTAGGTCTTTCGAGTCATACGCACACCCACAAAAAGAAAACAAAACCTTGCTGTGCTGGCAAGTTTCACATGGTTGGCAACTGCGATTGGGTTTCAACTCCAGGAAAGGGTCACAGCAATTGTGTGTGTGTGTGTGTGTGTGTGTGTGAGCGGACAGGTGACGGGGATCAGGGTCAGAGGGAGAGGACGACCGGCTCCAGGGTGACGAGACGCAAACACACACGGACTGTGACACAAACACCCACACGCAGATACAAGAATACACACTGGTGCGAGTACACAGACATGTATGAGCAGCGGCATAAATCACACACACCTCTCTGAGATTTGACACCAATGAGAGAGATGGTCCAGTGAAATTCACACTGTTGGTGTGGAGTGAAGAGGTTCGCACAAATCATCTCTTTCTCTTGTTCTCTCCCTCCAACGCCGACTAGTCATTTTATTCACCTAATTATCTCTTTCTAGCTTGAACAAATTAGAGGCTTGCTCTATGTCACAAATTACCCACAGACCACATTTCTATCAACATCTTCCTCCCTTCATTACCATATCTTGGGCCATGGGAAACAAGGATTACTTCATTGTGTTTGTGTGTTTCTTGCTCCAGATGGTATGATCTAATGTCTGCATCCCAACCATCCCCCCAACCCCCCCACATCCTCATGCTGACAGTGCAGACCTGCATAAACTGTAATAGGCCAGATTAAGCTTTAGCGCAAGCGGGGGAACTGGGATTAAAAACAAATGACAGTTACATTAAACCCAGAGGAGAGGGGAAGGACCTTATGTGGCCTTGTGTGAGAGGGAAGCAAATGATTTTTATTTTTGGATCATGCGGGAGAGGGGGAGAGGGAGACAGACAATGTGTCATATGTGGACACTATTCGAGACAATGAGACCCAATCCGACCACACAAAGCTGATTTTTAGATCAGCTGGGCTGTCCTCACCAAGGTTATCTGATCTAACTCCCTCTGTCACTCCTTCAGCTTTGCATTGATCTCGCTGGAGTGCTGCCGTCCAAAATTGGCCTGGGGGTCAAATTGTGCCCCAACAAAACATTTGTCTCCCAAAAGTGATATGGAATCCTATTTTGTCTGTATTGATGCAATTGAAAAGGTATGAGAGAAGACATGCAAGTAATAAAGTTATAAGCCTTTTAAGTATAAAAGTAAAAATGTCCTTTTTATGCACACAGACACAGCATGTAAATGGAATTTTGTATTTTTAAAATTTACACTATTTCATACAGAACCGACTCTGAAGATGCTTAGGTATAGTCTTTACTATTACTGGAAATTAGTAAAGTTTGTAAAGTTTCCATAATCGCAGTAGGGGATTAGAGAAAACTGATCTACCTAATTAGATTTCTTCTGGAGAACATTGATGTGATGGCCATGTATACAGCCAAACAGAATTGTAATCACACATGACAAAAAGACAGGGAAAGTCTGAAGGAAAATGGCAGAGCTTGTGTATAAAATAGCAGACACAAAATAGCCCCTCAAAGTCTAAGTATGTTTCTACAGCTGGACAATTGACTGTTTGAAAAATGTACACTCGTGCTGAAAGGCTTCTACAACTCCTGCGAAGGTGTTTCCTGCATAACCTGTTAACCAGTAAACTGGTTTTTAGTGTGCCGACAAGAGGCAACACAGTCTTAAGACAGCATTAATGTAATGCCTTTAAAATCTAAAGCTGTGCTGATATTGACAAGATTACATAATAAAGACACATCTTGATACATATATTTGAGTCAGAGAGATAACCTGTCAGTACTCAAAGGATTTCTCAAGCAGCCTCTCACTCTCACAACAAAACCTTCAAACCACACAGGTGTAATGAATGAATGAACTAATCAAGGCTCCTCAACAAATGCATCACCAATGAAGGGTAAAGTGTTGGAGTAACTGCCAACTGGAACTTTCCACACCAGTGTATCTGTTTAAAAACTATAAATAAAAACTCATCGCAACTTTTTTTTTAAAAAAGGACAAAATGTGAAAGGGGGCATTTATAGCTAAATAACTAAATAACAAAACATACTAAATCACACATAACTAAAACAAAGCACAACAAAACCGCAGAGAGGTATTATAGCACAGCAACACAGTGGTACAATATCTGATGCTGCAATAGGTATTCATTCACCTAGATCAAAATGTTAATACAGTAACAAAACAGACACTGGTTTTCTTCCTAAGTCTGTAACTATGAGCGTGCCAATGCCCTAATAAGTGATACACAGTGATAAGAATGTCAACTTTTATGTGCAACCAAGATGGCAGCAGGAGACATTCACACTGTGGGTGCACCTCAAGTCTCTTATTTGAGCTGTACTTGCACGAACCAGAAGTCTTTTCTGGTCCAGCATCTTGAAGGCTGTCTCAAAGCTACCATTTCTGTTCTGAGGAGACATGAGCAAGAATACACAAGAGCAGACTTCACAGAAGTCTTTTACCGGCCAACACACTCCCTTTACTGGATATCGGTTATTGATTGAACACTGCAGCTGAACGGACTGATCCGATAGATCCCAAGATAACAGGAGTTTCATACCAGAGTGAAGAAGATAATAGTTTAAACTCAAGTGTATCACTCCCAAGTTTTATATATGTTTGTTTTCTGATTCACCATCTAGTTAGTTCTGAACAACAACTAGCGGTTATTTCCCCCATTAACTTTTTATTATGGATACAATTAAAGTCAGAGTTTGAGTCTGCCAGGAAGAAACACTTTTTACATAATGTATCGTATTAATATTAGCACAGTATGTGTGCAGACACAAACTCCATCAAAAGTCTCTACAGCTGGTGAAGCCGACTGACAGCTGATCCAGCTGTGATCAGCTGTCATAGCCATCAGCCACAGAAGCTTCAGAGAAAAGGACGTCTCATTTTTCTGAAAGACATATTTCCTTGTTTCTTCTCACCTCACATGGTTTCCTCGCTCCCTCCATACATCCATGGTGAGAGAAACGTGAATGCAATTAAGGGACTTGATGTATGGTGTTTAATTTCTGAGTAGCGAGTTATAAACAATTATATGTATTTGTTTTACAACTGACTACACTTTGAGGCCGCTTCCTCTGCTATTCTAAAAGATGTCTGGAAAATGTAGGAGTTAATGAGGTCAATGGAGGACAACTGAACTTTGGATTGGGCAGTACAAGTTTCATGCTTCAGAGAGGGCTGAAATAAAAGTTAACCAGCTAACCAAGGCTGTATGTATAACCTTGGTACAACTGTACTACAACTGACATAAAGGTCAGTAAACGGAGACAAACTTTCAGTCTTTGGTTAACTAGGGCTTAAATGGATCATCTCCCCAGTCGTCAGCAGGCTTA